CTTTTGGCAACACTTTTCTTTGCTGTTGGAACTTGTACTTGTTGTTCATCATCACTCGTTTCTTCACTTGATGAAGAACCTTCATTGAAAAAGAATCGATTACTAGCCATGATTTTTTTTTCTAAAAAATAATTCAAATTAACATTTACATGAGAATATGTAATATTATTTAGAAATTTTCCAATATTAGAAATAATTTGTACTTTTATTTTTTTTTATATTTTTACGAAAGAATAAAAATAAACAATTTGTTCGCTTCCTCATTTCTGAATGGATAAAATCGAAAATATAAATCCATATTTATGAAAACTAATATTATTTCAATAGATACCGCTAGTTATCGATATGTAATTGATGCAATATTTGTTTTGGGGAACCTATAGTTGTTTTTTTTGTAACAGAATAAAAGATGTAAATGTTTAAAAAATTTATTTCAGTTTTTTTTCACTTATTTTATTGAATATAGCTAAACAATAAACAATCTCAGACTCTGGAATGTCGCAAGTGACGGGGATAGTGCCCGGCGTGACCAACTTTTTTGGTCACGGTCACGACAAGTTGGTCACAGTCACGGTCACGGTCACGGTGAGCCCAGGCCATGACCGTGAGTCACGGCCCTTTTCATGGTTTCTCAACATGAAAAAAAACTTTCCAGAAAGAGCTATTGCAATGTTTCCTTGCCCGATTCTTTATGGATTCAGTCAGAATCCTTCCAGGATTCGCTTTTTCCTGAGGGAACGGCGAAATCCTGTAAGAAGTGTGTATTCACGAAGTTTCAAGATCCTAACAGAGTTCGAAAAAGGATTACATCAGGATTCTGAACGGGTCTCCATTGTTGTTGAACTTGGAATAAATTTGAAAACAATATATGGCTGTGGGTGTGAGCAGAACTTCTACTTATATTAACTGACAAGAGCGGTCACTGATATACTCTCTTGTTGACTTTTTGTTGCGACGCTCCTCAGTTTTAGCTGCAAAAAGTTGACTGGGTCCTTGTACCAAGATCCGTGTCTGATCTTGTCTAACATTTGATAAAATCTGGAGAGAATCCTCTCCATTATTTCTGTTAGGATTATAACCAAAATCATGAATGAATCCTTCAAGGATCCTGTATTTATTATCTGCAAACACATCTGGCCAAGAATGGAAAGAAATCCTAAACAGGATCCTGTATAACTGAGAAATCCTGGCAGCAGAAATTGAGCCGAGATTCTGAGGAAAACTTGGCAAGACCTTGGACATTCAGGATCCTCACAGATCCTTGCAAAATCTCCAAAGAAATGAACAGAATCGAGACTAGGATTCGATTTACTATTAAAAGTGATAATCGGGGGAGAGTAGCTTCGCGGAGGTGCCCGTACTTCTCCTCAGGGGTTTCCAAAATCACGAATACTAGAAACTTCCCAATTTTTCATAAAAACCGACGACCGAGTGAGGAGGAGTAGTTTTTCCCAGGTCTCCCTACTCCCCCTCAGGGGTTTCCAAAATTTCGAAAAAGTTCTCGTGACTAACCGTGACTAAGCTCCAGTCACGGTCGCGGTCACGGTCACGAACCATTCACAAAGTATTGGTCACGGTCACGGCCGTGACTGTGACTGCCGTGAGTCACGGCGGTCACGCCGGGCACTAGACGGGGAACACTTCAATCTTTAGAAATTTTCGTTTTTTTCTGTTGCAATTCCAGTATTTCATTGTTTCCTTCGTTTACCAATTCCCGAAAATATGTTGAATCTTCCCAATTCTGATGACCTCGGGACACCATTGCTTAAACTATTTAATATACTTCAATTTCTATTGTTCTACTTATTTCTGTAAATGAATCTCTAATTTCGTTTTGATGAGATACCCATTCAGAAATTATCAAAATCTCAACCAATAAGTGAATATTATTCGAAAATTTTCTAAAAGTAAAGGGCTCGTAATATTCCAGCTTATGTTCATTCACAAGAACACGAACGTGATGGTACTGGGAAGCTTTTGACAAAGAAACAACAACAAAGATTATAAATACAGCAGTAGGATGTATCATAGATAAAATACAATTAATATAAGATAAAATATATAGTTTTAGTTTTATATTTTGTTATATGTTTCCACTTGTATTTTGTCACTGGTGGTCATTTTGGATATAGACGATGCCGATATGTTAAACATAAAATGACACTAGCATCGACAGTAGTTCGACAATAAGCCATTATGAGAACGGTGATAAGTAGAAGAACTAATAGAGTACGATATGTGATTCGCATGATTATACACCCCCCCTCCCCATCCAAGGCCTCCACACAAAATGGAAGATCAATCTAAAGGTTATAATTTTCGGAGATAATAGCAGCTCACTATGCCTAACCTGAACACAAAATAAACAATGTAAGAAATTGGATAGATTATCTCATCGCTTCTCACTATTCAATTATAGCTCTGTTTATATGCTTAATTTTTTTTGCGACCTGGAAAATATGTATGTATGCTTACCACTTGCGTATAGTCGTCAAAGAACAGGAATTGAGAATCATATTGGTATATGTCTAATAAAAGTTTCTTTGTAACATCTCCAAAGTTCGGCAATTTCTTAGGTAAAATATTGTATTAACTGAAACTGTTCGTATTCATACCAGGGTCTATCAAACAGTGTAGAGAACTCTCATTATTTGTTCTACTTAATAATATGGAACCGCGACAGAACTGACAGTGCATCTTAAATACCACAAGAACTATTATAGGTGTTCTGAAATTGATCACATAACTTGATAATTTTGATTTATCAACTATTGAGTATTTCTTTATATGAAAGCCCAATTACAACAAAATAAAATAGAAAATACAGAAAGTCGAAATAAATAAAAAACAATAATGATGACAGATAAGAGAAAATAAAATAAGTTCCAATGTAATCGATCATGAGGAATTCGATTTTATGTTTCATCTTGTGTTTGTTGTTTCTTTACATGCTGTGAAAAGACTCGTAGATAAAGAGAGAAATATTAAATGAAATAGTTATCGAAATATTACATTTGATCGAGCAATCATTATGTCTTATGAGTAAATATAGCTTCATAATCTTTATATTATAAAAATATTTCAAATCTTGACAAAACCATATAAAGAAAATAGTAATGCATAATCGCAACTGCAAAAATATAAGAATATTTTATTTTAATAATTTATTAATGTTTTATTAAGATAAAACAATACTATACTTTTAGATTGATAAAGATATAATAAAATAAATAAAAATGATTATTGGTCAATATCAACTATTTATTAGTAGAATCAATTTTGTGTGATATATATCAATTTGAATCATTGTTAAAGATGAAAATTTATTTACTTTTGTCAATGTAAAAAAAAGGATTACCATAAAATTTTAACGAGGACTGAGATCAACTTTAGTCGAAATAGAATGAAGAATATTTCAACCAGGTTTGTAACCGATAATGTAAACAACTGGTCCTATAAAGAACTTTTTATTGAGTAATACAGATTTTTTCAACTTTTTCCATATTGTTTTTGTCTTGCAAATCAAACCATTTTTTCTAATGTCAATGAATATTTCAACAAGAGAACATGCATTTGTTTATTTCTATTAAGTGAATACTCATCAAAATACGCCTAATATATTTTATCAATTTACATCAATATCTAGTTATATTTTATCGAAACAATATAGAATCGTTGTAATTTATCACATATTTATTTTCATTTCATATTATTTGTAGCTTACCTTTCGCAGAGACATTAGAGACAACAAAGTAAATCTATTTTGAGAAGTAGAATGCAAATTTCAATTGTTTCATAATTTCAATGTTTGACGAACATTAAATTAGTATACAAAGCTAATATAGAATTTGTAGTTCTATGAAATTTTCTATTCATCAATAGATGCTAAGAGAGTGAACAATTGTGCAAACAGATAGTCAAAAAACAAAATTTTCAGTGCTATTCTTCCGGAATTAAAATATTAACCATTATTGAACTACTTTAAGCATTATGGAAAATCTCATCATCTGTATTACATACAGTGACATAGATATTGATATCTATCCCCGTGTGCTACTAGGTTAGAAAATAGGTATGTTTGTTGTGGTCTTCGGGGCAGACTGAAGAAGATGGGTACAATTTTCTCGCAATATACGTCAAGACTCATTAACAGCCATGTTTAACAAAAGCACTATAATAGTAAAGCAAGAGCCTTACGTAATTTTTTGTAGTTAGTCAGACATAGACATGACTAATTTAAAGGTTGATTTGACTGTTCTGAGATGGAAAAAAGAAAGAATGAGTCATATTGATCTACCGACCTACTTGATTCGATCCGGTCTGACTGATATCATTAAGGAAAACATCCTGTCGATTACAACTCTGATTTCAAGTCTTGAAAGCAAGAAAGGTTATATTGAAAGAATTTCATCAACTATTCGAATAAAGGATAATCCTAGTTAAGATTGATAAATAACCAAATACTTACTATCTTTATCAAGAAAATTTTCTATTATTTGAGTCATTAAAATACAACTGAGATTCAATGCATAATTGATTTTCTGATACTGTTTTAAAATTTAGAATTATATAATTTATTTTAAATGCTAAAATTATATTCTCAAGATTCGAAATATTTTATAGATTTTTCTTTGTACTATTTGTGCTATAAGTTTATGATTTACAAAAATCCATATTGATTCAGGCACGTTTTTCATGTTTAATAGTAACAGAAAAAAAAATTTTTATTACTCAGAACGGAAGAAACAATGTTAACAGTCCTTGTGAAATGACGTCGTAGATGGTTCTGATAAAATGTGAGTCATGTGAGAAGCAAGTAAAAATTCCAAGTTGGAAGAAAATACAACATGTCCTATAAATACTCAACGATTCGTCGAATGTCATGTTTCATACGTCGATATTTTGTTACGGGTATGTTAATTTATTTTCTTTTTGCTAGAAGAAACGTCATGATTTATTCGTGGAAAGTAAAACAACAAAATAGATATAAGAGATAAAAACTATAACTTACTTTCTTTTATTACACAAGATAATGATAATGGTGAAATAGGCGTAAATACATTATTTTTGAGGATACTGAACCAAAAAGCTAATTTGAATTTTCCCAATTGTTCATTATCAATTCGTGCTCTATTTATTGAACCACTTTGATACAAGTTGAAGATATGTATTCGTACACTAAGTGAATCACAAACCATATTAATAATTAAGTTAAGTAATAATTATAACTTACTCTTTTTCTTTAGCGTCATGTTCTGTCAAACTAATTTTCGAATAAACATATCTATGTACTGGATCGAAATAGTCTGCCGAATCACATTGATCGAATTGCAGACGATTGAGATTGTTGTCATTAGAAAATAAATCCATATTGACAGCGGTGCCCTCAGGAACAGGTACTTTTGAACGATGATCATGATTATTATAAGTTTGAACCTTAATACCAAGATACATTGAATCAGTGCGCTTGGGAGGAACCTGAAAATAATATGAGTATTTTTTGTTTCTATTCAAATCTTCTTTGAATATAAGCAATGCATTACTTTGACGCGTATCAATGTACGTTGAGGACCATCACCAGCTAAAAGAGGAATCTGTTTTTTTCCAAGATCTTTCATGTTTCGATAGTGCCATTTGTTTTTTGGCTGATTGAGAATCTTTGGTGCTTTACATTTATCTGATAATAATGTTGATGTTGAAGTAGTTGGAAAATTTTCTGTAGTTCTTGATAAACGATTTAGAACGAATGATGAGGTATCAGTAGAGTTTTGATCAGTTTGTACGACATAATTTGTATCCCCGAGTTGAACTAGAGATATACAGTAAGTTGCACTGAAAGCATTAAATTTATAAATCTCACTTGTGTTATCTTGTTGATCATTGTTTGTAACAGTTATGTTGGAAGCAATAGGAGTATCATTATTTTCTAAAAATAGGACAGATAAATGATGATTAAAAACAATATGTAAAGTGCATATTTACGTGGAATATGTTCAGCTGCACCTTGAACAATCTGTGAGATAAACATTAGTCGTTGCTGTATAAGTTCAAACGAATATTGAGGAGATATTGAGTTGAGATTCGTGCTATTGAAGTCTGCAGAGAAAATAGAAATTGATGGTTCTTGCTTACAACTTTGATCGTATACCCGATAATTGATGTTGTACAGAAATTCCATCAAGTAATGATCGACAATTATTCTTTAATTGATTGATTTCCTGTAGCATTTGTTCGATGAAAGCAGAAGCTTCTGATAAAGCTACATGTTGAAGATCAACTAAACAATATGAAGTAGTAAATTATTGATAATTATACTTGTCAATAGTACATACATGAAGTTGAATGATTTTCTGATGAAGAAGTATTATCAACAGATATGTCTAAAATACTTCGAAATTGTAAATTATTTATCAAGTACAACACTTACGGCTAAGATCTTCTGTAGGCGATTCCAAACGCTGTGCTGCTTGATTTTGATTTTGATCGACTATTGAGAGGAAAAATAAATCTATATCGTATTGAAATTATGTGAATAATGATAGAGAACGCACTTTTTTGATTCATTTGGCTAACCATTGTTTCAATACAGCGCCAAACGAACAAATCATCTGTCTTAAAAATAGTGAATATTTTTCCATCGATGTTCTTTTGATAATACAAAGGAGAACAATAAGTTCTGTCAGCATCACAGGAAATAAAAGCATGTTTTTCTCGACTGTGCCGTTCTTCGTTAATATCGCCAAAATTATTTCTGTCTATAATAGTAAACTTGTTATTAATAAACACAATTAAATGAAGATCAATATCATAAAGTTTTGCATAAGCGTTAATCAAATCGTGAAAAAATTTTTCAGGATTATCTCTAAGTTTAGTAATATCATCGAAGGTATATGCAACCAATTCAACTGGATGTTGCAAATTCTTTGGAATGTTTTCGGTTTGATAAGTTCCATCTGTTATAATGAACATGGCACCATCAATTAAATCACGTGTCCAGTTTATACAGATGGGATTTTCTGCAGAACTTTAAAAAAATAATAAGTCAATTGCATAGCATGAAATGATAAAAAAGAGTAATACTTTGTTGTGTTGCCGAAAGAGACATGACGGCTTTCAGGAAAGCACAGGCTTGAATCTACTTGATTGGTGGTATTCATTAATTCTTCAGGAATTGATGAAAATTTACTTTCCATATTCGAATAGTTCTGCTGCAAATGTTATGATCTGAAAAAAAGTAATGCGTACTGTAGCTCGATTCTCGTCGTTTATGGTTTTGACTAATGTAACATAAGCAGAGGAAAGAAAAAAAAATATCGACTTGGAACATAATGACTCATTGTACTAACTGCGCATAAAAATATGCTTGTGAGCACATAAAGTAACAATGATATCATGTCTACTATTGATAAAAAATTTTTTTTTATTTTACACTAGGACTTTAATTCTAACATAAAGCATAAAATGAAAAGAAAACAGCATTTGAAGATCATGAAAATTCATATGCTGAGAAAAAATATAAATAAAGAATATAGAGATAGTTTTATATTTTGTTTTTGCTTTGAAACAAAAAACAAACAGATATTAATTGACATGAAATTGCAAATAATTCGTCAAAAATTTCAAAAACATTGTTAAATATTTAATATTTTCAAAAGTTAGATTAGTTTTTAAACAGTACCGTGACTCCTATCATTTCTATTGATTTTTTTATTCATAATTATTTCAAAGTACAATAAGCAATGACTGGATAAAACTTAAAAAATTAAGATAAAAAAGAAATCGGTTCAATATTTTTCTTTATACATAATCATGATTAACTATTATATCAATACGATTCATTATGTTTCATTGTCTGCTGAAGAAGGAACAAGTTGTGAACACACTTGTGCATGTTGACCTGAGAAAAAAAAAAGAATATTCACAATAATCTTTGTAAATTTATCGTTACCATGAGCAACGTATGGTAAATAATCATCGAATAAATGATTCTCATTTCGTAATAAACTGTCCTCAACAAAATCTGTTGTTGTAATAACTAGATGAAGGCTATTCATTCCCTCAGGTTTAACTGGGGAGATTATTGATAATTTTTTTAGTTTTATTTTGAAGTCCTTATTCTTGAGCTCAATATCATTGCATTCGATGCGAAAATCTAGAAAAATTTTCAATTAAATTCCATTCATGTTATCCATTTTTATGATCATACCTCTTTTATGGCATGTAACACTTAATGGCACAGTAATGTTTTCACCACCCAGTTCACATAATTCTTTTGGGTTGATCTTAGTTGGATCGATAGTTATGTCTCTGTCCTCTAGAAAAATACGTATTATAATGAGAAATATAAATTCACTGAGAAATGCACATTACTTTGTTCAATGACTGATGTGTAAGAAGGAAGTGACACAAGCTGATATTGACTAGAACTGATTTTTATGCATAATTGAAATTCAAGTCTGCATAGTCGACGGTTTTTACATTCAACAGCTCCTGTTAATGACGGTCCATACTGTTTCCAGTTGAAAAGATAAACTTTTACTCTAAAAATATCAATAAATGAATATGAATTAATAAAATATGCACTTACATTTTTTTACTATCTTTTCGTTCGACGTCAGTAATTTTTAAAAAGACAGATTCAGTCACCGGATCAAAACTATCTGAACTACATTTTAAACAACTTCGTTCATCATTAGTATTTGTCATTAATGTCCAATCAACATGAGCATTTTCAGGTGCAACAGTTTGGCAAGGATGTCGAAGTCGATTTTCTGTGACAGTTCGAACACGAACATAAAGTTCTACATCATCACCATCACTCTTCTTAGGCACCTTCAATTAAAATCTATGATATTTTTAGTATGAGTAAAAACATATAATTAATTACTTCTATCTCAGGATACTCTCTTTGTTTCTTGCCGTTACCTGCTTGTACTAATGGACAGTCTTTTTTTTCTAAATCCTTTAACATACGAACACGTCGATAACGACTTGGGTGCCTCGTCACATTTGGTGAAGCATAATTTTGTATTGTACTATGACTTGTTCGAACATCTGGTCTGGTTATTGTTGCTGGTCTCGTTGTACTTTGAAATAAACAGATGGGAATGTGAGAAACAATATTTTTCGAAGAGCAGATATGGTTTTTTGCATGGCCAGTTTTACTTTGTGCCGTATTTATCATAATGTTTTTCGAAATACATTCCCCTTCTTTCAATATTTCATTAGTCGTATGTTGTCGATCGTCTGTTTCCATCGATGTAGTATCATCCACTTCTATTTAATACAATAAAAATATAATAGAAGTTGTACTCGTTGAATTATTTAATAACTTACGCTGGAGACGTTGTACTTGATTGACATGTATTGGTAAGGATTCGAGTTGTTCGTATACTTTATCAACTGAATCTGTATCAGCTGACGAATTGAAATTGTTACCCAGTGAACCTATGATAATCAAAATAGAATAGTAGTTTTTATTTCGATAATGAGTCTTATTCACAATTCACTTGTTGACCACGAAAATACAAAACAAATGACCATACCAGTTTGTTTATGACGTAGAACACTCTATTGTCTTTTCGTCTTGCTCATATGTATGGACAAGATGAACAGAGAAAAGATTGTCCTATGCAACAAACAAACTGGTATGACCACTTTTTTGTGCATGTTCGTGGTTAATAAGTGAATTGTGAACAAGATTTATTGATATCTCATTCGATGCGTTTTGCCTTGATAGTATATTCAGTTTCAAATTGATAGCTAAATGGTGATAATCTTAAAGTGTTGAATATTAGTTTGATGAAAAAGAGTCCTTTTTTTGTACAATAAATTAACCGCTAAACTTTTTCTTTTAACTATAACACACTTCAATGTGAGCGTTTTTAAAAATAAGAAAAGTTCACCATTTGAACTTGTCATGGCTTCTTCCGAATAAATATATGAATCCGATTCATGAACAGTTTGAGAAGTATGTGGAATGTCATCTTCGCTGTTTTGAGATTTTATCAGACCAGCGTCATTTTGACCAGCTCGAATATTTGTATCATGTTTTGAGTTTATGTCGTTCAAATTAGAATATTCACTTGATTTTGAAATAAATCGAACATCTAAATGATCTATTTCTTGTGATTCCTCATAATGTGTCATGGCATCGTTGTTGTTGGCAATATAATCTGTTTGTAGAGTCAGATCTTGAGATACTTTAAAGATATAAAGAATAAATCATTAAGTTCATTTTTTTTTTCAATCTTACTTTCATGATTCCGTTCCCGAATTAATTTCACGATATGATCCATGATAGTTTCATCATCAGTGGCAAAACATGTTTGTAGTCGACCATCAGTACGAGTGGCATACCATGGAGCAAATAAGGATTTTTTATAATCATGCATAATATAAACAATACTACGATGACGCTTCTGCCGTTCAACTTTGCTTGAAGTTCCACCATACACATGAATATCATGACCAGATATTGGAACGTCATCAGTAAATCGTATAATATTAAGTTCGAGTTTGTATAAGTCAGCATAACCATTGAGAATATGAACTAATTGTTTTGGTGTCGCAGTAACTGACATACGATCTAGAGTGCATCGCATCCAAAGAAAACAACGTTTTCTAGTACAAATATATTTTGCTATGAATTTCATACATTTAGACAAATTTGTCCATGAATGCATTTTGACAGGATAACACCATGACCTAGAGAGTAAATAAATTAGAGAACTTTTAAAAATGATTGAAAGATAGATTGAATACTTTAAATATTGATCATGTAGTAGATCAGATTCAGAGATTTGTCTTGAACAAATCGACGATGGCATTGGTTCGTCTTTGTCTAATGACGATCTTGTTTCAGAATGAGTTAAACAAACTTCTTTTTCCATGTGTACTGGTTACATCTAAATCTCAATTACCTATGAATAAAAAAACAAAAAAAATATTTATATACTAGGAAGTGTGAGTCACCTGCGAGGTAGTGGGGGCAATTACGAAAAGAATGGGAGAAAAGAAAAAGAACCAGAAATAAAATGCCAACACACACAATCAGTTGGTGTATGCCAACTACAGGTAAACCAAAACGTGTCGAGAAACGTGAATATGTTTTTTTTTCCGGGTCGCTTTGCACAACGATCATAAGGAATAAATTTTCCTTCTTGACGAAAGATCAAAATTTTGATTTTCACATAGAATTGAGTACGAATTGAGAACTATCAAACGCTGAAGAGAGAATGTGCTTGTTCTATGTTGCAGTAGGAATTTTCATATTTGCATTCTTATTTGAGAAAAGAAAAAATACAAATTTAGAATGAATAAGTGGCCGAATATTTTTTGTACTACATGTACCTCGAAAGAAAAACAACATATATGTAACGAAAATTTTTTCTTTTTTCTCAATAGTTTTATTATCACGCAATATACTACTCTGATTCATAATTCTATATATAATATCATAATATTGCTTTAAATATCTTGTAATCTATTTTCAATAAGACTTAACGAATGATAAAACGTTTGAAGTAAAAGAACAATCTGGCACAGAAGAAACAGACAAAAAACCGCATAGCAACCAGACTGTTACACGTGACAGCAATATGAACAAATAAATATATATTTAATATAAGAGCATAAGGACGAAGAAAAAAACTTGTGTAAGATAATAAGAAAAGCTATCATTCATTTTCCTGTCGTGTTTTGTTTACGAAGTAAATTAAAGAGTTGTTAGTAGTTTGTTCTGTTAGAACAGTAAAATATATTTTTGTACAAAAAGCTTTTTTTTTTTATTAATTGTAATTGGTGACATCACCAGTAATATTTTCATTAAATGCAAACGGACAACATAAATGTGAATCAAATATGCCTCTGTAATGTTGGTTTTTTCCAACTACAATGATTCATTTGAAGTATGCACGTTTCTCTTGAAGAAGTCTGTCAATATTTATTTTTTTTTCGACATAATTGAATATATATATATATATATATGTATTCATATTGTTGTAATTATTTTGTTGCGTTGCATCGGCATTTGATACATAATTTTTCAAATCACTTTCATTCGAAGTCAAATCTTTAACATAATCTGATTATCTAGCGAACTGATTCTTTTTTAATAGATAAAATTGAAAAGTAATGGATCGATATTTATTAATAACTGTTATCATAAAATGTATTAACATTTCGTTCACAAAATCCTATGACAAACTTAAAGGTAGATTTAATGTTTATAAGTTATTTTAGTTTTATTTTCGATTTTCATATATATTTGTCGCAATAGTATGAATTGGCGCATACATCTCATCTTGCAAAATATACAGTGCTCAAGAAAATAAGCTAGAGATTTTCATTTTTAAATTTAAAATAATTTTTTTTTTTATCTTACCTCAGACAACAGCGGTGATGAAAAAGGAATATGAAAAATGCAGATGAAACTATAAAAAAAAATGGTGTCTACGAATTGTAGTTTTTTGTGTAAGTATGTTATCCATTGTGAAGATAAAAGGGAACAGCGCTTTTCAGAACATCGAGTTGAATTTCCCTGAGTTTTAAATCATCTTTTGGAAAGAAAAAATTTGAATAAAACACTGGCTCGTATGATGCGAAGCATGATGTAGTTTCACTCAGACAATCTATAAAGAATAATAATCTAAATATATGATTGTATCTTTCATAGCATCGTTTTATTGTGTAACACACTGTTAACTTTTATTTTGAATTCATTTTTAGACAAAAAAAGAAATAATAAAATACTTGCGCATAATTTCTCTTTCTGAAACGAGTTCACAGTTGAGACTGTTTTTTATTTGATTAGTTTGAATCAAAATTCGAAATGATCTTTAACTATCTATAAGAATGTGTCTAAACTACTTAACAAGACAAGTTTTTTTTTTTTTTTGTTATTATTAATATCAGTTAATTAGTATAAAACATACAAAGTTCAATTCTAGATTTGTTAGTAATACTAAAATTAGCGTGTACAGATATTATATATAATTCAAATTTATTATGTCTTTTAGTTTCTTAATTATGGTAAAATGTCCTAAATTTTGTGTTAGACATGCTGATAAAAAATTTAAGTCAAATGAATTGATTAGATTGATATCTTAATAATTGCTGAGCAATTCTATATTGAACTGAATAATCTTAGTGTTCTGTCTTCAAATTTTGTTTTTGATTGAAAATTGAACTTAAAAAATGTCTATGTTTTTGTATTATGCCCACTGAATATGATAATTTGAAAAATTTTTCTTTTTCTGGTTTTAATGTAGTTGTTTGAAAAAAAAACATAAAAGCGAATATTTTTATAACTAGAGAAAAAAAAAGAAAATAAATATAAACGTAACGTTGTATGAAGATATGAAGCAATACACGTGAGAAAGAGAAAACAATCATGCAAAAACATTTCGTTTCTAAGGAAAAAAAGGAGATAGATATAAATAGGACGCAAAATTAATAGTATATTGCATTTGAGTGTCATTATTACACCACTGAAATTTTCAAGGTAATATTTGTTTTATTCTTCATCAGTATCAAACGCAATAGAGTTGCGTCTCTTTTTTTCTATGAAAATAGACATTAAAAGAAAGAAATATCATTAAACAATTTTACTTTCTGTAATTATCCAAGATAATGATTTAGGAGAAATAGACTTATATTTTTCATTTTCTTTAATACAAAACCAAAAAGCCAATTTACATTTGTCAAGTTGTCCGCGTTCAATCATACTTTTGGTTAATCCTTTGTTTTGATATAAGTTAAACATGTATATTGGCACACTTTTAAAAGTATATACAATCATTAGAAGAAGATTTATGTAAGGTGCACGTAATGCAAAAGTTGAGCTGAAAACAAAACTTAATCAATTATACATCAGTTGATAGAGCTTTCCGCGCTGATTCAGAATATATATCTTTCAAATTTCCAGATCTCATATGAGCCGAGAAAATCGCAAAATACTAAAAATTACAGAAAACCCCCCAAAAAACGACTTTTTCACTATTCATTTCAGGATTGATGTATCTTTGATTAGACCTTTCTCAACAAAAGTATATTATCTAGATCGAGCACATAAAACTGTGCTATTAAGATGAATTTGACGAAATTTCATCGATCTTGTGACTTTTGGTTGACTTACCAAGACCTACCTAGTATACTGTCGACAGCCTTACATTGTAAACCTATCTCCTTTTTTTCTGTAAGAGCTAAAATGATGTTTTTTTCAGCATTCGAACCATTATATCGATAAGAAAAAAGTTACTTATGCTCGTAATCCGGAGTTTTACCGTTGTTAAGAAAATTCACGTTTCCTGCAACCATGGTAAAATATGGCAAAAACCACCCGAAAATAGGACTTTTTTTCCGATTTTCATGTCGAACGAATTGTTCTCATACAAAACAAATATGATATTCGGAATCAGCGCAAAAATTCACGTTGAATAAGCTATCTTTTGTCAGAAAATGGTTTCCACCGAATTTATGCCTGTGCTCCACCTCAGCTGTGTTTTTCCTCAAGATTGTCCTGAAAGGGGGTACAGGTGAGATTTTAACAGAAACTATTTTCTGACAAAATGTAGCTTATTCAAGGTGAATTTTTGCGCTGATTCCGAATATCATATTTGTTTTGTATGAGAACAATTCGTTCGAAATGAAAATCGAGAAAAAAGGTCTATTTTCGGGTGTTTTTTTGCCATATTTTACCATGGTTGCAGGAAACGTGAATTTTCTTAACAACGGTAAAACTCTGGATTACGAGCATATGTAACTTTTTTCTTATCGATATAATGGTTCGAATGCTGAAAAAAAATCATTTTAGCTCTTACAGAAAAAAAAGAGATAGGCTTACAATGTAAGGCTGTCGACAGTATACTAGATAGGTCTTGGTAAGTCAACCAAAAGTCAAANTCAAAAATGTTGATATTTTTCTATTGGAACTTTGGATCGCGATTCGAGTAATTCTGTGCGGGATTCGTCCAGAGACATGTTTCAATTGTTCCATTTAGGTTCCAAGCACAACTCAACGAGATTCAGCGAATGGTCTGCGTGGATTTCATATAAACCAAAATATGATTTTCAGATTTTCTCTAGAACCAGCTGTCGATCCCAAAATCATTCGTTAAGCTATTAGAAATCTGAGCATACCGTTGGATAGAGCTCGTTGAGTTGTGCTTGGAACATAAATGGAACAATTGAAACATGTCTCTGGACGAATCCCGCACGGAAGCACTCGAATCTCAATCCAAAGTTCCAATCGGAAAAAATATCAATATTTTTGTATGTCTGGGACCATGGCTTGACCTAAGGAAAATCTGATTGCACCATTACATAGAGCTCATCGAGTTTTGCTTGAAACATAAATATGAGTTTTGAAACATGTTCCTAGATCAATCCTGCACGGGTATACTCGAATCCAGACCCAACTTCACTTACATGTGTAATTATACTTATGGTGTGGTCGAATGAGTACTCATATGAGTTGTATCTATGAGATTTGCTCGCAGACAAAAGCATGAGTACTCAATATAGTACTCATTCTCGTATTTTGACAGAATGTGTAACAAAACACCAATGAACTATCAGAAACAAAAATAAAATAAAGTTGCATAAGAAAGAAAAATGATGAGGTTAAATGAAAAATAGAAAAGAAGTATTTTAACGATTCGTCAATTATATCCTCCATTTTTAACTAATAAGTCACTTCTACCGCTTTAATGAATGGCTATTTAACGAATACAAATATAACTTCAAACTTTTCAACTGTTCATTTTTCGAATAGGATTATATGTGTATAGATACATAAATAATAGTTCGTTCCAATTTTAATTCCTAAATTTTAGATGAAATATCGTTTCGTATTAGTATATAATATTTTGGATTGATAAAGAAAATTAATGAAAACAAATGATGAATAATAATTTCTGACACAAATCAATTAGATTTCAATATTCTGAAGGTATGTTCGTGCTACGAAAGACAGTAAATTTATTTGTATTTTTTCTTTATTACTCAATGAAATTTGGTTATTAGTTTAAAATGTTCGTTTTTTTTTCTCGTAATGATCTATATTATGTGTCTATTGTTTATTGCATCTCCTAATTTCGAGAATAATTCAAAATTTACCTGCCATTAAGGATGTTGTACTGTTTTCAAGATGCTCTTTAATGCGTTGTTTCTTTTTTCCTGAAGATAAAAAGTCTATCTCTGTACTCTATAAAAAAAATAACAATATAGTATCTTAATTTCTCAAAGTCTTATCATGTGCGTTTATAACTCATTGCTAATTGTTTAATCAAATAAAACGAATATAGTACAACAATACTGAACAAAATATAGTTCTATGAGTATTTTACAAAAACCAACCAGAGTGCTCAAAAAATGTATGATGAGTACTCGCAAATCATTCAATTTTACAAGGTGAATACTCACTGTATTTTCTAGCATGAGTACTCGTTGAAAGAGTACTTTCACTATGGCCTGAAATGCCGAATACCAATGCTTCAAAGGATGGTATCAATCAAGTACAATAGACTCAAGATCATTATTACAGAAGAAAGCTATGTCAATGTCTTGATTTTACGGCATGATTTTCACTGTTGTCATAGATACATCGGTTCCTAGATATATCACACATTATACAAGAACTTAATGCTAAATTGTTTTATACCATTCTCGTTTAATAATACATATTTAGGTTCACTTGTGAAACATATGCACTAAGTATCAACACTTTTCAGCAGAAAAACAATGTTTTTCACCTACCTCTTCAGAGTATAAATATGACGTTCTTAGTTGATTTGACAAAGATTTCCGGTATACCAAAATATATATATACATTCTTACGTCAAATGACTCATGATAAATGTCATTCTTTCTTTTTTTTTTTTTATACAGTCGAGATATTTCTTTCAAAATTTCAGTCAATTGCAAAATTTGATTAACTCTGAAACAACATGTCTTAAGTAGAAATTCATCTCATCTGCAATTCATAGTCACCAAAGCTTTTTCATTAAATAATATCAAGAACTATTTCTATTGACTCATACATTAACCAATATTTTTCTTTTCTGCATTGATATCAATCATAAAAAACAAAGTTATTCATAATGTACGTATAAAATATCAATAATAAAACCTGGTTACATTATTATCCATGAAAGAAACTTAACAATAATCAAACTAATTATGTCAGGATATATACATATATATTTACATATAAATATAAATATTTTCACAAAATAGAATAAGAAAGTTTTTTGATAATCCAATGAAGAGATATGAGAAAGAATAAAAAAAAAAAAAAAAAAGATCAATATAAACTTATTCTTAAAGAATTAATTGAGTGTTCATCAAGGACAGCGCGACCGGAGAGATGGACAGGGAGGATCAACCCCGAGCTCTAAGAAATTTGACTGAAGCTTTCTCCGAATTTGAAAATTTTGATGAGTCAATTTTCTCGAAGTTTGGAGAACTTACTAGGCAATTATCTCCGATTTCGAAGAAATATATCATACAACTTTCTCCGAAATTAAAGAAAGTTCAAGTTTGGAGAAAACTACTAGACAACTTTCTTCGATTGTGGCTCGATTCTCCCTGTTTCGACTTCTTGACGTTCTCCTTGATGGTTATAAAAAGCAAACAGTACACTGTCATGATTTGTGTGTAACATTTTTAATGCGCACCGATAGGTTTTTTAAATAATTGTTTGATTGTTTATTAGCAACATTCTTCTTTTCGTTGGTATGTTGGTTGCCTATAATGAAGAATAAAATTAGGAGATTAAAAATTAATAATTCTAAAATCTTACGCTCTTCTATTATATTAGAATGGTACACTGGAGAAACACATGTGTACGTTTCATTTTCAAAAGTACAAAAGTAAAAAGCGAGCTGACATTTTTTAAGATCTTGATTTAGTACCATTTTTCTATTTATTTTACCTCTTTGATATAAATTAATTATATGAATTCGGATCCTATGAAAAATAAATTGATCGTCGACATAATAGAATTAAGAACTAAACAAAAAACCTTACTTTTTTACTAAAGCTTGACGATCTTGCGAACTGATTTTTGAATAGATCCGGTTGTTACAAAGATCGACTATATCATCTGGATGACATTTGTCAAATTTCAAACATCTCCGATCATTATTATTTATTAATGATTCATTCCTTGTCGTTGTTTTATCTGGAACAATAACTTTTGCTAGATGAATTTGTCCATCAAGATTACGAAGTTCTGTAGCAAGATATAATAAATTATCATCATCAGGAGGAACCTAAATGAAATTGAAATATTTATTTTCAGTTTATATGAACAATATCGTACTTCTATTTGTAATGCTTCACGTTGTTTGGAATTAATGCACTGTATAGGAGAACTTCTAGTCTTTGCGAATTCTTTTAAATTTCGAGGATGAAATGTATTTTTTAATGGTTTCTTCAATGTTGGTGGGCCATAGATTGTTGGTACAGAAATATTTAATGGAGCTTCACCATCAGATACAATTTGATTCGTTTCATATTGTAAGTTGGTTGAAAAATCAGTAGAATGCATATAATTAATTTCGATAGTTGGATTGCATGGATGACTAGGAAGTATAGATTCAAGAATATTAACTGAAATATTTTCTATGAAGAAAACACAAAATTAAAAATTGCAACTAATATATTAAAGAATATCATTACGATGAGTATTCATAGTTTGTTCCGCTATTTGAATAAGATTCAAAAAGCACGTTGTACCTTGTTTTAAAGCAGAAATCGTATCTTCAGGAGACAATTGATTATATGGAATAATATGTGAAACTAAAAGAACATGATGTGTGAACAAAGCTTTGTCTTTTACACCTTAAGCAGGAAATTCTCCAATTGATAAAACGCTTTTGAGTCGAGACTATGTGGATTATATAGACCCAAATGAACTATGAATACCTTGAAAAGCGTTCGTGTTCATAGATGATTGCTACAAATAGATTAAACTTCTATGATATTTTTTAAATGAACGTTGTCATCTCCTTCAGGTACACCAGAAAAATTTATTGTTGACTTACAGCCTGAAACTTTGCACAGAAACAAGCCTTGATAGGAATATTTTATTGTGAATGTTTCAGATCTCTGTCGCTCGATCCAGACTCAGCTGGGTCGAAATCCGAAAAATTGGGGCTCGATGGGCTCTAGTCGTCTGAGAAATGTGTCGGGTACACTAATCACTGAATACCAAATAACTGGAAAAAAAGCAACTCGTATGCTCGGGGTGACTATCTAATTTCGATTAGAAAATTTCCTTGAGAGTAGTAAAATATGGCTCTATTGGGTCCACAAATTTTTGGCCCGACAAGCTCAATCATTGATATAAACTGGCACATTAGATCCTCTTATTTCATGATGGAAGCAAATCAAAAGATCAGAAACCTTCACAATACACTATCCTCGCTAAGGTCTATCTCTATGCAAAGTATCAAGTCGAAATTCGAAAGTCAGTTATTGTGGTGTACCTCAAGAATACCACTACATTCCTTTAAAAAAAATATCGTAAAATTACAGTATCTTCGCAATAGTTAGCTAAGATCATGAACTCTTTTTAGTGGACTCATAACTCATTTGGGTCTACATAATGAACATAGTCTCAACTCAAAAGCAATTAAACAATTGGAAGACTTCGTTGGTTAGACGTCTTACCGAATTGTTGGCTAGCTTCATTCATTAGATGAGCATCTATTGGAAGTTCATCAGTTAATCGAAACATTTGCTGTAAAAATTGCTTAAGTAAAATACGAAATTGAATCTTAGCATCTATTTGAACAGAGTTAGCTGCAATAATAATAATAATAATAATAATAATAAATTGGAATTTATTAGAATTATTTTAATACATACAGAGATTTATTTGATTTGTCAAATTTGAAATATCATCGATTGATGAATCTAAATAAATCACGAATAATTACCCTTTTATCTTTATGATTAGTTCTTACTTTCAATAAGTTCTTGCATACAATGGACAGCTTGTTGCTCTTGTATTTGAGGGATATCACTTGATGGTTCTAATCAAAAACTAAAATTTTTAGTTAAAATATTCGAACAAAAATTTACTGGTATTATTGAGATGAGCCAAATATATATACATATCTACATGAATATCAGGATCGCCTTTGGAAAAGACGGTCTCATTATTACCATTAACACTTGTGATATATAAGGGTCCCTGAACTGTATTATCTTTATTGAGTAGTAAATAAGCTACGTTTGCTTTATCATAACTATCATCATGGATTAACGAAAATTTTTCATTAATGAAAGCCATAATATATAAATCAATATCAAAATGTTTCGCAAAATGTTTTCGTAAGTATTTAAACATCGTGTCTGGACATGTGTTTAAGTTCTCAATTATTTCAAAGATTTGCTCTTGATCCTCAGTTAACGTTGCATGACTTCCTTGAAATGAATTATTGCTAAGAATGTGTCTGATTGCATCAAGTAAAGTTTTACATAAAAATACATCTGGATAATTAGTTCTAAAGATAGAGAAAAATAATCAAGTTAATATTAAAAAAAATTAATATTTACCGAACACTATGTGAAAATGTATTCGCAGAGATTCGACAATCAATATCCATAATCTGATTAAATGCCATCTAATTGGTATCTGCTATTATATTATATCTTAGAATAATTTTTGCAATATAAAAATCTGAAATTAATGTTGTATTTTTTCAAAGAATGACGTTAACGAGTTTAGCGAAAAAAATAGCGACACTTGATATATTTTTGTTCCTCAAATACTCATATGTTTTTTTTTTGAAGTTATACTATTCGTCATGTATATTTGCATGCGTGGTATTCATGCTTACGGGAATGACAAGTATACGCATGCTTGTTTTTTATAGCTATAAGTGTACACAGAGTGCACATGAAAAGAAAAAAAAATCCATGGACAGCCAAATAAGAAACTTATAAAGAAAAAAGATATCGAAAATTATTCGTTACTTTGAGAATTATATGTAATTAATAGATATAGTACTAGAAAAAATCTAAGATAATAATATATCTCATTTGCATTAATGTGATGATTATACTCAATGAGGAGAATATCAGTATGTCAAGTAGAACTTTTCCTAGAACTTAAAAATTTATAATATTACCTTATCGATGTCAATTTATATTATAACACAGTTACTGTGAAATTCTTCATGTCAAACGAAGAACGAAGTGATGCACTGTGCTTAATACTTCTAGTATGCAAAGAAATAATGCACACCGACATGACAACAGTGCGAAAGCGGTCTCGAGTTTTTCCTAGTCGAAAAAAAAGGATTGTATTGGCAGTTTATCAATCCATTTCTATGTCGCATTTCATTTTTATGCTGTAATTGTCAATTATTTTCTTTTATAAAGATGTAAAAAAATAAAATATTTGCTATAGTTACTTCAGTGTATATTCTAAAATTATAAGTCTATCAAAAGTGTGTTCATATTGGTACGAAGAAGCAGGCGTCATCTACGTATTCGTCTGTAATGATTGGATAGAAACTCTGTTCAAATACAAATGAGGTGGATATTTAATTGTGCATAGTGTTCTAGTATTAACATAAGTACTTCAAGCAGAAACAGAGTACCTAAAATACTTACGAATTTGAAAAATTATTATGGTTTGCATTTCACTGGAAAAAAGAAACGAACTACCTTGAATATCCTCTGCATAGTAGACAAAGGACTTTGCTTATCTATTGCAGCGTAATTGAAGAGTTACTCATCTGCCTCTTATTTTTTATATTTTAACTTCAGATAAAACTATCAAAATATTTTTTTTTAAGCTTATGAAATGTATCATTGAAAATTCTCTTTTTCTTGTTTCAGATTTTCAATATTGTTTCTGATACATACTTTCTTCATTAGTGCATTTCAGTCCTATTAACGTTAAAATTCTCAATCGAATCAACTTTATAGTCTTGTGACAAACATATTAATTCATGCAGAAACAAAAGTAATAATAATTACTTTTATTTTATACTGTTTTCTTATTTCACATTTGAAATGACGAATAAAAAAATTTAATAACAACATATTTTTTTTTCCTATAATGTTAAGTAATTAGTTCAAATCCAGATAAGGATTTTAATAGCTGATGAAGTTTTCTTTTACTATGACCTCATAGATGAACCATGATGGCAAGATTTCTAAAACAACCGGACATAGTAATGCTGAAGTCCCAGATAGCTATTTTTTAGCAAAGCAATTTTAAAGAGGACAACATGAACGGTCACCGTATTTTCTACAATCTTCCTTTATAAAGTAAAAAAAGTATGACAAATATTTTTAAAAGTCGCTTGTAGTCGATTTTGTTGATAAACTTCGTTTTTTTTTGTGAGACACTACCTTTTTAAGGGCTGGTCGTATAAAATGCGGTCGTGGCACATTGCGTTCTCTTAAATATGCGATTGTTAAGAAATAACTTTTAGGATCTGAAAACTACCGTGTCTGGCTTTTTAAAAACCTGACCATCATAGTTCATCTATGAAGTCCTAGTAAAAAAAAAGCTTTGTCGGCTATTAAAATCACTATCTGGAGGATGTGTGTGAATTACTTAACATTATAGAAAAATTAACAATACGTCATTATTCAGCTTTCCCCTACTACCTTGCGTATGATAGTAAAAATTAATTCAGAAAAGTGTTTCTCAAACTTTGTCAAATGAAAATGCGTACAGTTAAAAAAATTTGCTGTATGTTTTCTTGTGCAAGACACAAATAATAATAACTTTATCTGTGCTTTTATTGATAAGTCCTTTGCTCTAATACTTTGAGGTATTTTGTTCCAGATTTCTATTAGAAATTTTAAATAAAATTTAAAAAGAAAATACATTTAAGTTTGTTTAGATAAAATGGAAATTTTAGTGTCATTTCTAAATCGTGATAATTTATCACAATATATCTCAACATCTATGTCGAATATTCTTACTTATCGAAATGAATCAAATAAACAAGAAAAAGAAATTAAAGAACTTAGCCGACTTTTAGATGCTCTACCATCTAAAATAAATCTTGACTCAATATTAATAGCTAGTCAACTTTTTGATTATTTATTACAAAATTCACCATCAATTCATCAATATCGTTTATTATCTTCATGTTTGAATTTAATGAAAACAGAAGATCGTCTTCAACATATAAAAACTATTCTTCTATTAATCCTTGATAATGAACAAACAGTTCAATTACGTGAACTTCTATGCAAATTACTCAATAGTATTGAACATTCTACTTCTTTATCATTAGATTTTGATTGGACACAATTAGAATCAGCAATGCATTATCAACATGATCCTAAATTTCTTACTTATATTTGGCGTTTTTTTTCTAAACATCATCAAACGAATCTTGAACAGATTCTTGTACGTACATTACCAATAATAAAAACTAATAATGAATTATTTCTTTTATTATTAATTGATTTACGTTCAGCAAAAGTATTTGTTTCAATGCCATCATTTTGGTATTTAATACAACGTTCATTAGGTGATTTAACATCAAATAATGATCGTATACGTAAATGTAGTTTATATTTATTTCAACAAATATTAACTAATGATGAATATAAACATATTGAAATCAAAGAAGAAAACTTTAATCGATTATTAATTTTAATCGATGAAAAAACAAAACAATTTTGGGTTGATTTTATTGTTCTTTATGAAGTACTTGAAGATGGTGTTGTTCATTTAATAAAACCATNTTCCAATACCTATTGTTAATTCGACTTTATTGGTTATGGAAGCTAATTTAAATTTAATTTCTTGCATTTGACATATTGACTAAACTGTCTTTTAGATTTTTCGTTATTGTTATTGCTGGTTGATTAAATCCTTAAGCCGATTCAGTACAAGTAGTACATTGTTTAAATTTTATATTCATCTTTTATGAAAATCTTTCGCAATGAATTGCTTCCTAAGGACGAACATTCACGCGATTGAGCAAAATTCTTGAGATATGTAAAATAAAATTTTCAACTAAAGAACAGACATCGTATCATTTATTGACACAACTTCTAGCAGAATAAAAGACAAAAAGATCTGTTAAATTATTATTTTTTTCTCTCTCTCTCCTTCTATCGTCTAACGAAAAAGAAAACACAAAATATGATTCAATCATTAATGTTTATCATCGTATACATGAATAAAGTTAGCATTCAAATTGAACTATTTTCTAGTGTTTTCATCTAAAATGCATATTCTTACAATTTTATTACTTAGCAACAAATGAAGCCGATTAAATCTTGCAAAACTTAAATAAGAAATTTTCAAAGTACATGAATTATTAATAGAAAGTCTAGATGAATAAAATGATTACAGAAAGAATTTAAGACATGTTCAACATAATAATATGAAATAATATTAAAATGTAAGTTGACGTGCTGGAAATCGATCAGGATATTTTCGAATAAAAAATTTTCTTGCTTCATTAAATGCAAATAAATAGAAGAAAAATGGTATGGGTGGCAACCACCAAAGAAAACGATTTGGAGAAAGATTAAGTGCTCGATTCAGTTTTGGAATATAAAGAAGAAAACATGTAAGAGCAATAGTAAATATAATAGCAAATACCATAAATCGATTACCAAATATTCCTTGTTGAAACACAGATCGACGTGTTGTTTTATTACCATATAAATTAGCAAATTGTAATATAACAACGCCAACAAAATAAGCTGTTTGTGCAGCTAAATCAAGATTATGTCTAATCAAGGAGAAAATAATCTAAATTCAATAATAGAAATTCTTAACATATTACCTTTGTTCAAATGTCCATTCTTGACCATAACTATCACGAAGATCATTAACTGATGTTGATTCCCAAGCTTCACGTAAACCAACAAGTCTTGATGGCCAAAATCCATTTTCAGTCATTACAACAAGATAAGCAAAAAAAGCCCCACTTGCTTCAATCATAGCTACTTGCCCATAACAAAGCGTAACCATTTGACTCGTTACCATTTTATCGGTTTTCTTACGTGGTGGCCGTTTCTAGTAACAAAACATTTAAATAAGCAGAAGAAAAAAACAAAAAAAAATTCGACTCACTAAAATATCAGCTTCAACAGCTTCATAAGCATATGAAATACTCGGTACTATATCAGTACCTAAATCAATACATAAAATAGTAATTGTACTTAAGGCAAGTGGAACATCAGCAACAACATAAATAAGAAATGGTAATAATTCGACTAAGTTTTTAGTAAATGTATAAGCAATAACTTTTTTTAAATTATCAAAAATAAGTCGACCTTCTTCAATACCAGTAACAATAGTTGCAAAATTATCATCAAGTAATATCATATCTGCAACTTGTTTGCTTACATCTGAACCGGTTATACCTATTTTGAAAATAAGAATAAAATTGTTTTCGTAAGAATGCATTAATTTAATTTTCGAATTTACAAGCCTAGTGTTGTTTTCGCATAATGACCTGACGAGGGACAGCCCTTCATATCTAATCGTTTTTTTTTCCACAAAATCTAATAGGTTAAGTATGCACCTGCATGGGCGTAGTTAGGTGAGATTCGCACACTAACCCAACGTGCAACTGACACTTTTCTTTAAAAAAAAAGCGGGAAAAAAAGAAGGACACTTTTTTCTGAGAAAATCAGAAGGGTAAAGAAAGACTTGTTTATAGTGACCTTATTAGTAGGTCCCAAAAAGGAAAAAAATAGTGTTTTATAGTCAAATCGACGTGTTGTACAATCTAGACGAATTAAAAATAGGTTTTGACAAAAAATGTTTTTGTCCAGAAACAAAATGGTTTTTCAGAAAATAGATCTATGGAGTCCTAGGTGTCGGTCTTGTGTTGATATTCAGAATCACCATGGTCGATTATCAGATTTCTTGAAAAAAGCGATTAGCCACTTATAAGCTTTGCCCTCGTCAGACAGAAGAGATATAGACAGAAGAGAAATAAAAAACGATTAGACTCACGACATAGTTACTAAAACATGTGAATGAATCTTACCCATTGATATTCCAATGTCAGCTTTCTTTAAAGCAGGTGAATCATTGACACCATCACCTGTTACACCAACAATCCAACCTTGTCTTTGACAACCTTATAAAAATATTCAATTTATTTTTGAAAAATAAAATTTGAAATCAATAAGAAACCTTCGACAATAATTAATTTTTGTTGAGGAGACGTTCGAGCAAATACAATTTCACGATGAAGTGTTAATACATCATCTAATTGACGAGCTGAAAGTTCTGCTAATTCAGCACCGGATACAACAATTGCACGTACATCTCTTGGATCAACATAATCAGGAGATATTTGCAAACGTTCAGCCAAATCTTGGACTATACATAACAACGAAAGACTTTTTAAGAAGTCCTAAAATTTTATGTTCTATTATACCTGTATCCGATGTAATAATCCCAACACCTATGTAAACCAATTTCATTTGTATTTTATCATATAATATCATCGCTTACCTTTCGCTATAGCTTTAGCTGTAATTGGATGATCACCAGTAACCATAATAACTTTGATACCTATATATATTGATAAAGAAAAATAATTTTGTTTTTTTTTCAGCTATATTTTTTCCAATAACTTACCAGCTGTGCGACATTTAGCAACAGCATCTGCAACACCTGGTCGTGGCGGATCAATCATAGTTATAAAACCCAAAAATCTTAAACCTTTTAATGGAAAATTAACATTATCTGGATCGAAATTAAATCCTCTTGGAAAATTTCCTAATGGTAAACGCAAGTCACAAAAACCAAGAACACGTTCACCTAAACCACCTAATGCCATATAAGCATCATTAAATTTTTTTTTCCATTCATCATCTAAATTGTATTCATTGTTATTAATAAAAATTGTTTGACATCGTTCAAGTATTCGTTCTGGTGCACCTTTCATCTTAACAAAAAATAACCGAAATATTTCAAGAAATCAGAAATTTAAAATACAAAAGCAAACTCTTTTACCACAAGTAAATGTTTTTCATCATCATCATCAGTTTCATGTATAGATACTTGGTATTTATTCGCACTATTAAATGGAATATCACAAACACGTTTATTTTTTGCACGATATTCTTCAACTTTGCCAGCAACAATTTCAGAGAATTGAAGTATAGCAGTTTCACTAGCATCACCTTGAACTTGTCGTTGTAAAGGTGGTTTACTCATATTTTCTTCATCAGGCTAAAACAACAAAGGTTTAATATGGGGAATTTATTTAATAATGAATATTATTACTTTAAACACAGCTTTAGCACATAACATAGCACATCTTAAAAGTGCTTTGTAACCGGGTCGATTAGGATCTAATTGTGTTTTTTCTTCTCCTGTTATTGGATCACGTACTGGCTTTTCAAAAGATAATTCAGCATCATGTGTATATGATAAATTAACACTAACAACTTCACTATCAAGCCATAAATGTGCAACAGTCATACGGTTTTGTGTTAATGTACCAGTTTTATCCGAACATATTGTTGATACACTACCGAGGGCTTCAACAGCTGTTAAATTTTTAACTAAACATTTTTTTTTTGCCATACGTTGAGCTGTTAATGCTAACATGACAGTTATTGTTGCTAGCAAACCTTCAGGTACATTTGATACGATGATACCAATAACAAAAACTACTGCTTGTAAAATGCCAGTACCAAGAGCAAGAAGAATTATAAGAAAAATGACACCAAAACCAACAGCAACAGCTGTGACAATATGAACGAAATGATTAATTTCAACATTCAATGGTGATACTTCATTACCAAGACCACTTGCTATTGAAAATTATTGTCGAAAGAAAAAACAAATTAAATTAAGTTTTTGCCATACAGAGAAATAATTTCAAATCAATGAATACTAGAAGATTACTCAGAATAATTTCTACTTGTCAAGATTAAGATAGAATTCGTTATCGAATCTAGAAAGATTTTTAAAATAGTTTGCTCTTTCAATTTAAGTATTTAGAATTACGATAGATAGTCAAAAGTGTTTCATGAAAAGAATTCAGTTAGAAGTCTAGAGCCTATTATTATTAGTTCATTAGTTCAATCAATATGAATTGTTATCTATGTCAAAGGTATATAGCACATCATTTTCTACTAAAATCTAGAAAACATCTTTCACTCATTGTAATATACTATGCAAGTATGAGTCCTAAATATTATTGCATAGTATGGATTTAGTATGTAATGCTAACCAAGAATTACGCAACATTGACTCTGATTTTAGTGCAAAATTAGAGTCTTGCTGGACATTCAGAAAAGAATATTTTGAAAATAAAATGGGATTTGAAATCCGAGCTGTCAAGAGGCTACTTTTTCCAGTCTGACCTGCAGGCGCCTGTAAAACAAATCAGGCTGACTGACGTGTTTTGTTTTTTAAATCCATCAAGTTTCATAACCTTATTATAATGTACCATTCTACTTTCAGTTATATACTTAATTTATTTTCTCTAAGATACTATTATGACAAGCTTTTGTACGAAATAATGAATTAAAACAAAAAGATAAATCACCAAAAATATTTTTTCATACAAGAATCACAAGATTTATCGACATTTTTTTGAAGAAGTGCGAGTGACTGTATGAAGGAATGATCCATACCTCTACAAAATCATGAGTTTGTGAAGCCATCTCATATATCAAATTATACTAGGGAAAATAATATTACATCCCACAGAGGTCAACAACTTCGGCCTGACCTGACCTATTAGCCAGATCTCACACTGATTGGACGGATCAGGCTAGGCTATAATTTCAAAATTCAGTCTGGTTTGGTGGACTGTCTGGTTTGGTGGACTGTCTGGTGTCCTACCAAATAGCACACCAGGCTAGCAGCTTTATTCGGAACTCGAAAAAAGTTTGTTTCGTAGGATTCTATGCAAAGTGCTTCGTCAATTGATACTGAAGTAATATGTAAGAAGTAAGAAAAATCTTTATGAGAAGCAAATAGTGTACGTTACCTAAAGCAGCAATTCGTCCCATAACGGTGTTATCACCAGTTCGAATAACCATACCAGTACATGAACCTTAAAATTCCAACATTTGAATATTAGAAAAAAACAACAAAGATAGCAGTTGTACCTTCAACAGCAAATGTACTAAAAAATGCAAGATTTTTTGTTTCAAGTGGATTATCATGAGTACAATCAGGTGATCGAGCTAGAGGTTCGCTTTCACCCGTTAAAGAAGAATTATCAACTTTGAAACTTTGAGAAGATAATACTCGAATGTCTATGATAAATAGATTATGTATTTTTTTCTTTTCAATTAAAGATTATAAATAATTACCTGCTGGTGTTTTATCTCCAATCTTAACAAAAACAATATCACCAACAATTAATTCTTCAGCAGGTATTTCAGTTTTCTGACCATCACGCAGGACAGTTGCTTGTTGTGGAACCTAGATTCATATATAAAAACTTATTTCATACATATTTAAGTTTTCTTTTAAAATAAAAACCATTTTCTTAAATGACTCCATAATTTTGCCCGCCTTTGATTCTTGATAATAAGCAAATACAGCCGTAATAATAACGACTATTAATAATGCAATACCTAACCATAAATTATCTTTTGGTGTTGTTGGATCTGAACCGACTGAAACTCCATAAGCAATCAAGCAAAGAATAGCAGCAACCTATTTAACTTTTTATAATTGTCAATGAGTTTTTTTCTCTACTTTAACTTACCCAAAGCAATGCAGAAAATCCACCAAATAGTAATTTAGCAAATTTTACCCATTCAGGAACTTCAGGTGGAGGTGTCAATGAATTTGGACCATTTTTTTCTAATAACTCTCGAGCTTTTGCAGATGAATGACCTCCTTCAAGATTTGTTTCATAACGTGCAACAAGTTCATCTAATGTTATTTTATGTTCATCAATTGAGACTTCTTTTTTTAAATTTTCAAAATCACTACCATCTTTTTGTTTATTTTTTCCTTTCCTACCTTAATAAAAACACACATCCGACAAAATCTATAAATATTCTATGAAATAAAAATACTTGGTATAATTGAACGAAAGACATTTACAAATCGATCTTTAATAGTCATTTGTATTTCATAAAATATGTGTCGTAATAAGTCAGTAACTCAAAACGTTTATCACGTTAATTTATAATGAAATAGCTCTGAAAAAAACTATATGAATAATGATGATAAAGTATAAAGAGGTGAAGATTGATATGTATTTTTGTTGTGCAAAGCCCTAGCGTGTTGATAAAATGGCAGAGCTAATCAACTCCTTGATTGCAAATACACATGATTGGCTATTCGTCACGTATCTATTCAAGGACATCAAATTGGTGAATTTATTTATTAATGTGACTATCAAGCTTTTCTACTTCGAAAACAAACATCAAAAAAGGCATACATTATTGCGACGATGCAAGAGAAAGACGAAAAAAAACGATACGACAGAGACACTTAGGATAAAAAAAATCGGAATTTTTCTTGTTCTGAATAGCAAGGCCATTTGATCGATTCGCATGACTGATTCTCTTGCACTCGTTATTGTCACATGTGCAATACTGCATTATTCGGCAATTTTTGTCTCTTCAATATCAATAAATCAAGCAATATTTAGCTAAAATGTATAAACAACATTCGCAGCAACAAAAGCAATGAAAACAAAGCGAAAGAAAAAAAAACTTGGTTATGGTGTATACTAAAATAGAAATCAGAGAAAAAACTAATATTAAAAAGATTATATGATTTTTCTTACAATAGCTATTGTCTCAAAATCTAATTTTTTAATTGAAAAATTTTCAGCTTTTTCAGCTTTAATGAAACAGTCGCTTGAAGTTCCTACTCGTTATAAAAAGAAAAATTTAATAATAAATATTGAATTTCTGTTTTACCTTCTGCATAATACCGTCGACAATGTGTGAATCTAAAAATAATTAAGTAATCAAAATCCTAGCAAGAAAAAAATTCCTTTTACTGTGATGCAAATTTGAGAAAACTATCAGAGTTATTATCGCGTTTCATAGTCATAAATAATTGTGTAATAAATTCACATGGATGATCAACAACAACAAGCCAATCACCCTTGAAACAGAAAACCTTTTTAATGTGATATTTTCTAAACAGCAATTATTTTTTACTCGATCTTCATATGTTTCTTTTGTATGAATACAAATAAAACCATCTTTATATGGCGTACAAGTAATACCCACTATATTATTAAAAAATATGCCTTCCTTAGGATATGGGTTTTTTTTTGTTATATTATATAAACGTTCATTGGTGATACAAAGTATTCGAATATGTTGTGTATATCCTCGACGACTAATTTTTATCATTTTTGTTGTATACTTCAAATAAATGAAATAAAAAAGAGAAATCGCTTTTGTTGAAATTTCTATACGTACAATCGGTTTTTCCGTGTCAAAAAAACACTTTTTTAATGCAATCTCATATGTTGCCATCATTTCTTCAGCTAGAAAAAAAAAATAATTTAAAATAATATATATATATATATATTATTTTATTAGCTAACGTAATCGAATTGATTCCATATTAAGATCATCTGGGCTATATGCAGTCTTTTTTCCTTCAAATAAACGTTGCATAAGTGGTTTTTCTGTTGATGCTGTCTAGAAAAAATAAATTATTAAATGACTTTATTAAATATTGTCTTTTTTTTTCTTACTTTCTCTTTTTTTGGCAAATCAGGTAAATTGACAACAATAACATTGATTTGACTATTAGGTGTTATTGATGTTTGTTGATCGTTATTATTAAGCATAGTATCAAATTCATTTAAAACTACGCTTTCTTCGTTATTTGTTATGGCATTCTTTCGATCCGTTTCAGAATTAGGAACTATTTCAGAAGAATTATTTGTTTGATCATTAATACTATGAATTTTTTCAGATAATTTTGGTTGTTCGTCAATTATATGAACTGGGTCAGATAAATCTGTTTGCGATGAAGCATGAGAAACATTTAAAGATTGTTGTTCATTAGGTGATTTTTTCAATGGTGGTGTTAACAAAAGATCATTCATTATAAATTCAGAAAATGTACGTCCAATATTTCTTGATAATGACTGTGTTTGTCGTTTTGAAACCAATGTTGTATCACGAAATTTTTCTTTTTCTTTTTCTTCTTCATTTTTCTTCTTGATTTGCTCAAGATCAAATGATTTTTGTCGTTGTTTCGAAGATATTAATGAATCTGATGATGGTAAAGGATATGTTGACGCAAACTCATCATAATTTTTTAAATGACGAAGTATCATTTCATACTGAAAAACTGATTCATCAAGTTTATTTCGACGCATACAAGAACTTGTATACGATGCCGAGCGTTTGATTCTTTGTGGTACAGGTGAAGCATCGTTGTGATATTCTGTGTTATGAGTGACATAATCAATAAAATTTTCAAAAGGTTGTTGACTAAGGATACTATCCGTACTATCTGCACGAGAAAGATGGCTAATTTTGTACGTTTTAATTAATAATGGCACAATAGTATCTGATGCTCGTCTTGCTTTATTAAGTGCAAGACCACTACGAAAAACAAGTCGAGTTATTTGCCAATTACGAATACTCTTAGTTTTCGGATTTTTACGAAGAATATTGTGTATTTTGTTATTAGCTGTAGCCATTTTCATAGAAGATTGTTCGAGAGCTGTCTTCGATTGAGTTTGATGTTTTAAAATGATTGAAGATTGGGATGAAAGATTTGATAAAGAAATCTTCTCTTCAATCGACGATACTTTTTCCACCGATGTCGATTCAAAAATAGTTGGTCCTAAAAGAAAACATTCAAATAGACTTAATTACTCGCTTGAATTGTTTTGTAATAAATAAAACACTGATTTCAAACCAAAATTTATTCTAATCGAATTTCTTACTATAATTGTTAAATGTGATTGGTGGTTCTTTTTTTGTTGTTGCAATAGTAGTTGTCTCATTCGTAATTTTCAAAGTTGGTATGTTACGTTTCAGTGATTGTTTTTGCTGTTGTTCCGAATGTGGATAAGATGGAGCCAATGCTGGTCGTTTTGGTTTTTCTTCTTCTTGTGCTTTTGAAGTCCACATATTTCGAAGTGCATGAACATTGCCGTGTACATTTGACGATGCATTGGATTTCATGTTTTTCTTAATAGTTTGTTAGTTTTAATCAAGAGTTATTATTCTCAGTCTAATGTTTTGTTGAAAAATTATTTTGATACGATCAAGCCAATGAGTAAATCAAATATAATGAGAATCTATCTGATATATTCCTATATAAGCTTGAATATATAATATGCCGATTGTTGAATTAAAAAGAAAAAGAAAACTAATAATATGTCGCTATGGTTGTAAATAAATCAAGAGTTAGGACGTATGTCTATTTTATGTGTGCGTGATCTTTTATTTTCTTATATTAAAAATAGAAAAAGATGAAGCATTCTGTCATACTTGTCGCAGTTTCTTTTATTATACTACACAATTCAAGATGAAGAAAAGTAGTGATGCTAAGCAGATAAATGTAGATGCCCATGAACATGGAAGACTCAGTAAACATTTTAGTATTTTTTTCTCTCGCTTGACTTACCGTTAAAACTATAGAACATTTGTTGAGCTTCAATGATGAATTAAATGCATTGAAAATATGTAAAAGGCATTTACAGAAACTTCATATATAAGAAAAATTGAGAATTTATATAATATATTGTGAATATTGTTTATTGCTATTAGCTTAATAAACCTATGCTTTTTTAGATAATACGTCAACCTTTTATTGATCTCTAATCACATAGAAACAAAAAAAACACGTACGCATGTGACATGGATCGATCGAATGTACATGTGACATTTGATCGTTGGTTGAACAATTCGGCATCATTTGTCAAAGAATTCATTTTAATTTGCAATAAAACGTTATTTGTCATGCTTACTTTTCTTCAAAATAGTTTATTGATTCCAAAATTTCTAGCTCGTATAACATAAAAATTGGCTGTATTATATTAACGAGTGGGAAATTATGTTTACGTTGACATACGTATTACAATGATTCATTATAGTGAATAACATATTGTATGATGAAGATTAGTATTAACTTTAGAGGTTTGAGATGATACTTCATGAATAAAGATTATTCATGAACTTTATTTTTCTTTTTGAGAACCTTGCCAAAATATAATAAATGATTGAGTGGCATCTACTTTTGAGCTCCTTTCAATATTTATGAATCAGTTTAGATGATCTTGAGTGTTGAACAAAACATATTATGAGCTTGAGAACATAGTGATCTTAGGATATTGTACAATTACCTGTAAGATGCATATAGGTATTTGTTTTCAAATGATATTTTTGTTGACTGAAGCCCATTGTATACATATATAAATCCTTTCGATCAAATATCTTAATAACAATAAGTATCTCTAGGCCATTTGCATTAATATTTAATACATTGGGATTTGTTTAATGACCTGTACAAAACTCAAAAGATATTTACATGCTATAAAAAAAAAACGTTATTCGGTTGTATTTTTTATTTCATTCGTAATTATTTTCTTGCTTATTCCACTATTCAATCAATTATTAAAAGAATAAAACAACTTAAAGTGTATAAATACCTAATGGTACACGCGCTTCATCGGCATTTGTGTTTGTTTATTTCGCGCAATATTTTAGAAATACGTTAACTTTATTTTCTGTTTACTAAAATATCGCAGAAAAAAATAAGCAACTCATCAAAATTCTTGGAAATGACTTGAATAATGACATTGATTCTTTTCTTGGGAGTAATATTCATGGAGGTAAAAAGACTACCCTCGAACTTTTACTATTGTAAAAATAATCAAAGTAATCATTTAGTGAACTGAGTGATATGTTGAATATGATAGAAATCTGATTCCATGATAAAGATGAAGTTTACCTGATATCGATGATATATGTCAGTGATCACATTCAGTCATGTACAAACATTTCGAACGGAACATAAAATTGTTAATATATTGAGATTGTCGAGAATTTGATAGACGAGCTCAAAAGATATTGCCAGAAAAAGATGAAGGAACTTTATTAGACATAAATGTTGATTTCTTTCGAGCAGCATGTTATATTAAAATGAACGTCTATCTCTATTTCTTTTCAGTGTTCAGAATAAAAGCAAGGAGTAAAACTAAGTAAAAGTTTTGTAGGATGGATAGAACGAAATAGGCAAAATAAAAGAGTAAAGAAATTGTTAAAATGTAAATATTGTGATTTTATTGTTACAATGCAAGATAACTGTCATATGTATGAACACAATGAGAGACAAGAACAGTACTTTTTGTATACACAATTATTTTAGAAGAAATCAGTCTTCAATAATAAAGAGAAAAGACTAAAATAACATCATTCTTATTTTTTCATCATTGACAATTCATAAGATTTTTAACAAACCATATCGATTTTCTTCATTATAACGTATAACTTCGTTTTAATAATTTTCACGAAACCAAAATAGTAGTGAGTAAACACGTATGAACTAAATTCCAATAGAATAATATTCGAGGAGAAGCAATTCTGCAAATGGTTCACATATTAATGCAAAAGCCGGAGAACATTTTGGAGCCATTTTGACCCAATTTGGAAGTAAAACTAGTTTTGTATGAAACTTTTAGCGATTGTAGAGCTTAGAATCACTAATCACTTCGATAAGGTTCAGTTTATCAATCAAACTTTTCCTTACTTCGATACTCAATCGAATAGGCTTTCTCATGACTTTTAAAGATGAAGGAATATTTCATGTTCAAAACAGTATTCAAATGGCTTGATAGCTAGCTTATATACTCTTGGAAAGGGAATTCACTTCTGAATAAAAATGTATGAATGTCTTTATGCGAAAACCGACAATTCATTACAAAAAGTTAGAATGCTGTTAACTTGAGATTATATATAGGCTGTGTTGAAACATTGTCTATTTTCTATCTCCACTATGCGATTTAGAACTGGAACTATTTTCTGAGCATCAATAGCAATCATCAAGAGCTCCAAAGTCGCTTAAATAGGAAGTTTTAAAAAAGTTGCTTTCGTGTTTATTACCTAGAGATATCATTCAAAATAGATAAGATAATATGTAGTGATTAATATCCGATATCTATGATTTCTACCATTTTATTCACAATTGAATGAATTTGGTAGATTAGAGTTGCATAAAAAATGCTATAGAAGGATAATATTCGTACTACCATAGCTCTAGTACAGTTGAGCTTTCTTGAACATTATTTTATGCGTTTATACGTAACTTTTGTATCTAAATGTTAACCGTTGTTATACTTTGATTTCATGGTTACCGATTCATTTCTGATAATTGATAATAGATGTTCTGAAGTTATATATGGATTACATTTATTATTTTAACAAGATTATTCATGTCTTTTCTGTGATCGTTGAACATTAAAAAAATCGAGAAAAAATCCGAATTTCAAAAAATAATAAAAAACAAATAATTAATTTAACAGACTCCATCAAGACATCATCGGCGAATCATTCTTCTAACATAATACAATATCTATAACAATGGTATACCGCTTCTAACAAGCTTCAATAGTTTATATCAGTATTCTAGATGGTCGACAGATTAACTATTTTCGCGTGAGAATACATGTAATTGTTTTTTTGTTAATGAAATGCGGGGTGCCGCACTACACATCTATACGTGATTGAAGATCAGAGAATAAGTTTTAGAATCATACTTGTGGATGTCTTATGCAATTGTTATCATCAGAAAGATTTTTCTTTGCTCGATTTAATTATCGTTTTCTGATCAGAAGTCTTTTCTCATACAAAACTATGAAGAATTCATATCTTTTCGATAACTTCATCTGCAGATTCTCTAATGAGAGAATTCTGCACGAGTCCAAGTAACAGAGAAAGAAAATGTGGCTATAGAAAAAGAAAAGCATATTCACTGGTGATTTCTGAATATGTTTGGTATCATCGACGGATAGCCATGAATTAAATTAGAGTTATTACGCTCAGTGATACTGCTAATAGCAAAGCGATATGAATCAAAATATTTTAGACTGTTCGTCAAGAAAATGTTTTCTAGAAAACATAAACTATTTGAAAATTGATTTCGAAATAGATTATTGTGAAAAACGATCTAAAATATTGTTGAAGTATATAAGATAAAAATTTGTACTTGTTCTCGCCCCTGCTCCCATAAACAATGACAGACATTGCCATCTAAACGTCAGAGACACATTAGACACGGCTCATCACAGACGTGACAGAAGTTGTTGATATACGATCAAAGACCATATATCAATGACGTGTCGTTGTAATATATAAATTACTTTCTTAATGCATTTTTGGAGAATTAAGTAAAAGGATGATGAAGATCTGGTAGGGATTGCGCAAACATCTTTTCTTCATATAAAACGAGATGTTCAGTCGTTCTCAGCTGTACTTCAAACGATTAATCATCAAAAGTTATATCCTTCGAAGAGCAACTGGTATTTTTTGAAACAATAGTATCATTTTTATGACAACAAATTAAATTATCTTAAATCTATGTTGCTTTACTATCCGTCATAATACATTTAATAATCATTAAAGTTTCGGTCTTTGACCTGTTTATAATGTTATATGTCAATAGTTCGGAATTTTATTATAATAATTACATGAAAAATGAACAATAATGTGATCTGATTAGTAAAAAGAAAAAGAATCGGACGGCGAAAAAAAAAACAAGACAGTACATTGACGTTACACACCGGAATTTTTTTCTCATCATTTATGATGATGAAGGTTGTAAAAGACTAATATTTGTATAACAACGTAATAGAAGACAGATAATAAATGAAATCGAAAGAAGTAAAATACCAATAACAAGTGTAATGATTTCATGTCTTCTCGTTGGAATAACAAAAAGTCGTAAACTAATTGTTGTCCAACGACTTTCAGTCCATGCTGGATAAGTTGTTTTTGATAAATCATAATTATCAATAGTAAATGCTGGTGAAACCGATGACATAGATCGTACATATGATCGTACACAATATCCATTAAATGATTGTTCAGACATTATTGATGGTGGATATCCACCAACATATGTATACGAATGAAGACTATCATTATTTGCACGTCCTTTACATGTTGTTTCAGTTAAATTGTATGTATCGTATTTACGATCACGTAAAAAATAACTGAGAATATTTTGTACGAAAGGAAAAGTTGGTGTTGTTGATGTTGGATAAGTATTGATTGAAAATAGTAATGATGTTTCATTAAGTGAATCAAATGTATTTCCCGTCGATTGATTTGTTACATTATGAATGAGAGGACAATTTATATTTTTCAAAATACAATAAACAAGATTATTTATAATTTCTTGTTTAATAGTCACATTTTTCTTTATACCAAAAAAAGATTCGATTAATGTTTGACCAAATGGTTCAACAATATGTTTTATCCATTGACTAAAGTTAGTAGTGCTATCATATTCTAATGAAGATATATTAATTGATAATGTTGAAGGATCATCAAAGAACGAATGATAGTAATGATTTGATAGTTGACTTTCATTTGCTGATGTAAGTATGTAAGCAGGAAAAGACGATGATGATGTTTGACGAAGAAAAATTTGTGAAGATGCTGGTGGTAGAGGAGAATCAGATGTCATTGGAATAATCATGGGATTATTATGGATAAGTGTATCGATAAATGTTTGATTTTTAAGTTTTGATGGATATGCATAAAGCTGAATTAACATAAGAAGACCAAAAAAAAAAATTGATATTTTTTTGTTTTTTAATCAAAGAATAAAATTTCGAAATGATTAACTTACCGAAAGTTTATCAGTTAGACTTAATGATTGAAATTCAATAATAGAATGAATATGTTCAACTTTAATAGGTTCTTCATTTTGACCACCCGTTGGAAAATATCCATTTATCATATCAAACATAAATTTAAATGAAGCTGAATAATCAAGTACATCACCATCAAGAGTCACAAATATAATTTCTTTATCTGTTTGATTAAATTCATTTTGTTCTTGTCCGACAAGATGTGCAAGTGCAAGAAATGTTATAAGTGCTGTAGCTGGTTGTTGAGCACCACCTGTTGTACCTTTTGTTTTTAAAAACATTTGAAAACTATCTGTTGCTGCTAAAATAAGAATAATTGATTGTGGTTGACGTTTTTTAGGTACAGGTGTCAATGATTGAGGTAATTTGCTATAAATATTAAGACCACCAACTGGATCACAAAATGTTTCTTCAGTATCGATTAATGAATGTGATATACTATTTCTTCGCATACATGTTTTTGATGTATGTGCTGCATTTTGAAATGTTTTTAATTCAAGACCACATGTTGGTGATGATTGATTATGATTAAATTGTCGATAGAATTGTACTAACTGTTTATAATCATCTTCTTCATCAATTAACATCATTGGAAATGGAAATGAACGAAAAAACAAACCAGTTCCTTGCGAATTCCAATTAATAATTTGTGTTTGATTTAAATAATATGAATCACGATGATTAGGACATTGATCATCATGTGAAAAATATTCAGGTCGAGATGATGTTGATTTTAAATAAAGTAAAAGGCCATTTAATTTTGAATCAAGAGATGTCATTAATTTATCAACATAATATGGATGGAATAAATTAACATTGAGTACAATAATAAATGATCCAAATGAATCAATTAATTTAGTATTTATAAGATAAGAATTAAATTCTGCTTCATTATCAATCATATACATTTGACCAGAATTGCCCCTTGTAGATGATTGACAACCTATTTCATGTGTAGCATTAAGACGACGAACACAATAACGTGCACGATCGAATGATATATACATTTTATCAACTACACGTTTAGGTTGAGAACAATAAACACATAAAACAGATAATAGAAGACAAACAAAGATAACTGAAGGATGCATGCTAATCTGAAAAAATAAATCGATTTATAAAATTCTGTTTTGTTTTTAAATTTTAGAATTAAATTTAACAATAAATATATTAATATAGGAGACGAAGATACTCTTGTCTTTATGAACTCAGTCATTATTTTCTTTGCTTCTACATATTTTAATAAAAAACTGAACTACTAAAATATTATAATAAAAAACAACGATTGAATATTTTTTTTTTCTGTAGACTATTGAACGATCCCTTTATGGTTCATAATTGTGTGAAGAAAAGCTAAACAATTTTATAAAATATTTAATATTCATTTGCTTCACTTTTAATTGAACTTGTGTAAAACGTTAAGTAATGATTTGATAAAGAAAATAATAATTAATACATTAATAGAAAACTAACTAGTCAATTGAACTGTTAAATCATCTCATTTTAAACTATGATTAGACTACTAAAAATCAATTACATATCTATATGCATTGCGACTAAATGAAATGTTTTCATCTCTGTAAATAATTCACTCAACTGGACAAATAATACTGGTTATATTAGTACCTATCATTGTTCTAAGCTAAAGAAAAGATGCTAATTGGACAGGAAAATTTTCTCGAGTTGATATGCTACTAAATTATTTTTGTGCTTCTATAAATGAGTCCATTGTTATTTCTCGGTCCGATTCATCTTCATCTTCAATACACGTCTCAGTTTACTACAACCATTCGCATGTGTGAGATAAGAACATGAATCTTTTCGAATAATAGATAGTTAATAAAATGAAAACTTTAGTATAAAGCATGTTTTTAGATTTTTAATAACGAAAATCAAGCTACCGATAGTAAACTACAAAGAATGATACAAAAGAAAAGAAAATAATTCTGATACCTAATAATGATCTCTAATGATATACTATTTAATTATCCTTGTAAGTTTATATACAAACAAAAAGTTGCAACCTTAATATCTAGAAACAAATTTTCTAAATAATAAAATCTCTGCCTACTCACTCGCTCTCTCCACCTTAAATAAATATCTATTGATGTTCTACATACACCTATCATAAAAGAGTATTGTGAAAGACAAGACAGATGGCGTATTATTTGGACAAATCTGCAATTTGTCAAGAAGGTATTACTGTGGAAATGCAATCTATTATGGCTGATTTAATTACTCAGATTTATTTTTTATTTATGATTGTATTTAAGAAGTCATCAAATGTATACTAAAGCATGTTTCAACTAAAACCAAAATCATATTCTCTAAAAAATGAGTTTTAGTCTTCACAGATATAAATGAAGATTAGAATTTATACCAAAATTATTGAGAAAATAATTTCTGAAAGTTATTGATATATTACTATTAAGTAAACTATAAGATCTCTGATTCATACAAGATGATAATCATATCAAACATTCTATAATAGTCATTTGGATTTTAGAAACATGTTTTTGACTGTCTCCGATCAATCGAGCACTGCTCTTCATATTCTTTTACGTGTCAATATTACTTATACAATATTTTGGTTTATTCTTGAAATTCTTCTTTTTGTTTTTAAATATTATCATTTACCGTATGCTGGAAATGCATTCAATATTGAAATTGCTTTGGTATTTATGCTTTGTTTAAATGAATTTCTTCGTCATTTTTTTGGTATTAAAGGAAATTTAATGCTAAAACCTAGTCTTTTAATTATTTTCATTTTATATGGACTTTTTTGTGCAATTGGCTTTGTCTTTTTTCTTATATTGCAATCATACGTTCAACGTATAGAAATTTTACTTTCAGCAATAGGTTTAGCATTAATTTTACTTGAAACTTTACTCAGTATTATCACACTTATTCGTAATAGTCGAGCAATGCCCGTCTTAACTACCGAACAAAAAATTGCACGACTAAATCAAGCACAACAACGATTCCAAGAATCAATTAAATAATGAATAGTGTTCAAATGTCTAGTAACAATAAAACTTCTATTAGCTGTCGTATGCAATATTGTTGATTGTTGACTTACGCTTTTGTTTAATGCAGGAATTTTTATTGTAATACATCTGTAGTTTCAAAATATAGAGAATATAACATGGGGGATACAAATCTTTGAAAAAATGTCGAACTCTCTTAAATCGCATACGTAGCTGGCTTATACGATAAACTTTGTACCAGAACATAATGTTCTAGAATCACTATAAGAAAAAGAAAAAAAATCAGAAACCAGACACTTCTAAAAAATTTTGCTCTAATTATTCATCAACTAATATCAATCAATTTCTAATTTTTGTAAATTTGTTTATATCAGACGAGAATAGAAAAACATATACGTTTGATGATGATTCTTGTAGCCAAGAGACTTCTCTTTTCAATAGTGTATTACAAGTTAAATTCTACCCTCGCTTTTTTTCAATGAGACTAAATAGTTTGGTGATACTTACTCGTTGGCTATGTGCAATGATAAAAGAGTTTTTTTTTATAAGCTGCTGGAATTCATCACAGCGCGAACAAATAGCGCAAAAGAATTGAAGCTGTCGATGATTTCTTGAGATAATAACTGATTTTCTTGTCAAACAATATGATTGTTAAAAATTTTTATTTTCAAATCATTTTGATTACAGAGATTAGAATGAATATAAAATGTTGCACCAAAACTAATTTTATTGAACTTTTTGATGCGTTACATCACTATGTATTTTTTATTAAAAATTGGTCAAATATTGCAAGAACGTTTTTCTAGACGTTACTTTCTTTTTCTTTTAGATTTTATTTGTTCTTAGACTGGTTCTGAAAAAAAAAGGTTTAGTGCAAAATTTGTAGTTCAAACATTGCATTGTTCAACAAAACGATTGTATTAATTAAGAAGTCGATAATATAGTCTGATCTAATTCGATATTGTTTGCAAACATTTCAGCATCGGATGCTATGTTTTGAAAATTGAATTGTTAATTACAGAAAAAGAAGTGATTCTTATCGAAACTGGTTTGATGATGTCAATAGTAATAAACTTCAAAAATTAATCAAAAAAATTATTCATGAGAAGAATCGAATAGATCATCTGAGAATACTCTTGATTTTGACTGACTTTGATCTTTATATATAATTCACCTATTGATTAAGATTTTTAAAAGTCTATTTATTAAACAAACTTATAAGGTAGCAAGATTGATTGAAGCTGAATTTAGAAAATCGTCTAGATATACATAGGGTAGTCAAAAAGTTCTCGTAATAGTACTCTAAAATTTCATCCTGATTGATTTTATTCCTGATGTTGGCCTATTCTAGTAGTGAAATCTGTTATGTATTAAAATACNATTCCCCATCTCACAATACCTACTCAGAACATGCCAAAGAGCAAGGGATCGCACCTCGTTTCCTAGAGAAACTCGGGAACTCACAAGCCACATTCATATTCGAAATAGTACTTACCCAAAGAAAACAGTTAGGGAACTGAGGAATCATGACAGTTCTTCTGACAGTACCTAGGTACCGATGTATCCACCTAGAGGGAACCTACCTTCATTACCTAATGGAACTGTGGAACTGACTAGGGATGGATATATTGCAACCAATACCGTCAGAACCGAAAATAGCAAAGGAACTGAGGAATCATCACAGTTCTACTGACAGTACCTAGGTACCGATGTACCTACCTAGACGGAACCTTCCTTCATTATCTAATGGAACTGTGGAACTGACTGGGGATAGATACACTGCAAGCCATACCGTGGGAACCGAAAACAGCCAGGAAACTGAGGAATCATCATAGTTCTACTGATAGTACCTGGGTATTATCAGCAGAACTGAGATAATTCCTCGGTTCCTCGACTATTTTCCGCACTACTGATATTGCTTGCAATAGATATGTTCTTGGTCAGTTCCACAGTTCCATGAGGAATTAAGGGTAGGTTCCCTCTAGGTGGATACCTCAGTACCTAGGTATTATCAGCAGAACTGAGATAATTTCTCAGTTCCCCCGACGTGTCCTTCGATGTTTTTGATAATTCTTCTGATCAAGATTCTTACTATGGGATTTGAGTGATGATGGCTAATGTCAGTGTCAGATCCCCTGTTGGATATTGACGGTCACTACTAGTTATTTCCTCAGTTCCTGGTTTGAGTGATTTTGAGTGGCCGATTTCCACGGGGGGAATTGAGCAAATGAGAAGGTATCGTGGTTGGTAACTGGTGTTATGATTAATTAAGCTTTATTCATTAAGAGGAATCGATCGGGAACTGACAAGTTTCCATGAGGTGTTTGAGGGTCAGCTCTCAGTTTCTCTGGGGAATTTTCACTTTTAGTTGGTGTTTTTAGGAATTAGTAGAATTCCCAAACCTCAGTCCTTGGACGCCCCTCGACTCACCGCGTTTTTTTGCACCGCGTTCACAAAAAAATGCGGTACATATACTCCTAACTGCGGTTTTCATTCTAGCTGTTATTACCGGTTTTATAAACCGCGGCTGTCATTGTAGTGGTTATTAGCGGTTTTATAAACTGCGGTGACTTTTCATTTTGTTTTAAAAAATCTCTATTAATTTGAAATACATCTGTTCATTATCATTTTCATATTAAAGTGATATACTAGACGAGACTTGATCTAGCACAATAGAAAGATTTTCAATCCATCTGCAAATGGTCGTCATAGAAATTTCACAAATCGACTGATACAAAATACTGCAGCTTTTATTTATTTTTTAATCTGTTTTTGTTGAGAAATGATTGTAGTGGATTCACAAAAAAGCAGTGTTAGCTATTCGATAAATCAACAACAATGAATGATTGTTAATGCAGACTGTTTCAAGAGGATTCATATGGTAGAAGACTCATTTTATTTTGAAAGTAACCCACAAATATTGAAAAAAAAAGTTCATTGCGGATCTATCAACCCCCCACAGTATAACTAGAAGGACCGCGATTTTCTGTGGTGAGATCGCAGAGGTCTATATTACGGTTAGTAGCGGTTTCATGTATCCCCACCGTGATGTGATACACCGCTGGCAGACACAGTTTTAAAAACCGCGTTTGTCACTTACGAAACCGCGGTGTCGCTGTGAAAAACCGTGGTGCATATCGAAATGTGAAGTAATGTGTAAGGACAATCAAGATGTCGTGCCCCACTTTTTCTGCCAAATTTTTCGATCATTAGACAGATAATTCATCTGACTCTACAAAGGTACTTTGTGGAAATGGAGCTCGAGAGAGTTGTCTTCACTGCTCCTAGAAGGGTACAACACCTGAAACTTTCAAGTTACAGGTTATGTTCGGCATATTAGAGTCGGTTCACTCTAGTGTGTCGGAAATAAACAGCAGTTTGAAGTGGTTTTTTTATATAACGATAGTCAGACCATTTATGCGCTTCTCCGAAACCGCGGTTTCAAGTGGTCTTTTAATATAACGGTAGTCAGACCATCTATGTGTCTCTTCGAAACCGCGATTTTGAGCGATTTCAAAGAAACGCATCGATGGTCTGACTCCTGGCATCTGAAAATACCGACCAAAACCGCGGTTTTTAATACCGTTGCCTAACGCTTTTCTTTTGAAAAATATTTTCCGTGGGTGTTTGCTCAGATCTAGCCGGGGAAAGTCGCAAGAACTCCGATTCAAACTTACACTCACTGTTATTTTCTTCGAAGATATACATGTTTCACGAATCATTATTTCCTCAAAATATCGATCCCATATAAGGCAATCAGGATGATAAGTTTTTAGAAACCGATTACAGATTCGGTTTCCTTGATCTCGGCTATCTTTGATCAAGCTACTTAAGAAATCGTTTTTTTCTCGAAATATCGTTTCCCGGTCGAAAAAATCACGTACACAATTTTGAGAAACTGATTACAGATTTGGATTCCTCGGCACCGAATATCTTTGATCAAACTTTGTAAAAAGATCGTTATTTTCTCAGAAAAACCTTTCTTTGCTGAAAAAATCAGGTACAGAATTCCGAGAATCTGATTGCAGATTCGAATTCCTCGACTCAAGATACATGTGGTCAAACTTTGTGGATGTAGGTTGTATCCTTGAAATACCCTTCACATACCGAGAAATTATGGAGATAGATTTTCAATAAACAGTTGCTCGAGAACGTAACGATAAGTTATCTCGCCTAGATCAAAGTACTAGTTTACAAAAATAGCTGAATATTTCAATCGGATGAATGCACTAACAATTCTGTACTATAAGAGTATAGAAACATCAACGCTTGATCGAAGAACACACTATGGACCATATCGAGCAGTTCGATCTATATCAGGGCTATTATTTTAACTTTATTTTAAAAGTTGAATTTAAAGTGTTACTTTAAAGTTTAAAGTTAAAGTAATAATACACTTCAAAACTGTAACTTTAAAAAATCAACGTTAAAGTACATATGTTAAGGATCAATAATGGAACTTGATTTTTTGAGTAAGGGTTTTTTGGGAAAATAACGATTTTTATAAACGTTGACCTTAGTAAATCGGGGTCGGGGAATCCGAATCAAAAGTTCGAATTTCAAAATTTTGAGTTTCACGTTTTTCCATAAGTGTTTTTTTTCAAAAAAGATCAATTCTTTTCATAAAAGTTCAATGTTTATCGATAAACCTCTTTTTACATAAAAAAATTACATTTTTTGTAAAGAAATTTTTTTTCAAAAAGAAATCAGTTTTTTATGTAAAAAGAGATTTATTGATAAAAATTGAACTTTTGTAAAAAAAAATTTTATGAAAAAACGTGAAACTCAAAATTTTGAAATTCTGATTTCAGATTCTGATTCCCCGGCCCCGATTTACTTTTATCAACCTTTATAAAAAATCGTCATTTTCCCAAAAAAACCCTTTCCTTACTCAAAAACTCAAGTTTCACTATCGATCCTTAACATCCGTACTTTAAGATACTTTACCGTACTTTGAGATACTTTAAGGTACTTCAAAATACAAAAGTAACATGTTTCCCCCTTGAATCCAGCTCAATATATGGGCAGCAACTTAAAATATCTTTTTATTAAACATATTTCAACCATGTAGCTTATGAAGCATCCGATGAATATCTTATCTTAAAATACATAAATTTTCAATAATTTCGATAAAATACTAATATAGTGTACTTCGCAGGATACTGCGGGCGGCGTACGGTCAATTTTTTAGGTGGATCAATAAAGTTTTAAATAAGTCCATTTTGTTGTTCTGCTCTAATAATGGCAGGCATGGATGAAAAGAAGAAGGACACATACTCACAACTTATTGACATAGGCAGTTTTTGTGTGTAATAAAAATATATTTGTTTCTATTGATCGGAAATTTCTTTGCAAATTTACTAACACAAGAAATAGCGACGAAGGAAAAAATATTCACGGTTAACAACGAGACTGATAAAAATTTCAGCTGAAAATATGTTTTACTGAAAAAAGACTGATGAATGAATGGTTTTTCTATAGCTTTGGGAGACTTTTTCTCTTATCTCTTCTCCTCCTAAGCAGAACCAAAACGAAAGCTATGATATCAAATCAAATTTAGTTACCAACACAATGAACTGAAATAGCACATTTCTCTCCATGTAATTGAGGTTTCATTACATCACCAAAAACATAGTGTAATTTCGTTTCACCATTACTATCATCTAAAAGACAACAAAATTCTTGAAATTTATCGAAAGTATTGTTTTGATATATATATACCTTCAGTATTTGTTAGTACTGTTTCATCAGTCTCTTCATCCTCATCATCTGATGAAGACACACGACATGAACGATAGTTTTTCGATGCCCATAATTGTTGTATTCTTGCTTTACGTCGTTCTTCACGTCTTCGTTCTGCGTCTTCCTGATAGAAGAAAGATATTTATTTAAAAAAAAACCATCAAAATTCTAGCATTATGTCTCACCATTTCTTGTTTTCGTCGAGCTTTTGTTTCACGAATTTTAGCTGCACGTGCTGCTTTTTCTTCTTCAGTCATCTGATGTCGTGGTGCTCGTTCACTAATACGTTGCTTTGATGAACTAGTTGCTGTGCTACTTCCATTTTCATCATTAATAATAAGACGATCAAATAGATCAATGTCAGCTTTTTTAGCAGCATCACGATAATCAATACCTTCGAATACATACATATTATCATCATTAATGTCTGCCGATTGTTGAAATTGTTTATCTTCATTTTCATTTTCTTTATTCTCTTCAACAGCAAGCCAATGACCATTTTTATCTGTTTTACCGAGAATAGAAGCAAAATCAATTTTTGCATAATCCATCTGTTCTGTTGCATCTAATAATTTATCGATACCAATTCTAAGTACATCTTGAAGCTATAATTAATAATAATTCTATAATCTTAATTTATTAGAATAATAGTACAAACTTGTGTTTTTGTATCTATGACTGTATTTAAACCAGATGCTAATTCACTATTTTCCATAATTGTTTTTGATAATTTTAATTTTGCTTCAGCTCGACGAAGAATTACTTCTACAAGAAGAAAAATATTTCGTTATATAGCAATCATTCAAAACCTGTTCAAACCTTCAAATGAATTTTGACAAACAAGACGAATAATTCGTACTGGTCTATAATTAGTTAAAAGATATTCTTCACGAGTTTTTTTCAATAATATTTTTTACCTTTTCTGTCCAATACGATGACATCGATCAGCTGCTTGTAAGTCGTTTTGTGGATTGAAATCCGAATCATAAAAGATAACTGTATCAGCTGCAACAAGATTTAAACCAACACCACCTTAAACATAAAAAAAAATAAAAATCTGATAAAAAAAACCTATTGAGAGCGTTTAAAATAATACCGTACAGCATTTTTTGCCGTTCCTAAGGAATTTTAGGAAAAGAGTATGAAGCCTGTTGTCCTCCGTGGTTGCTAGGGTCTGAGAAGGGGAAGCCACACAAATCTTGATTTAAACTTAGACTAATTATTTTGTTCTAAAATACCTGTGAGTTCTACTAACCTGCTTTTGTACTTAATAAAAATATAAATGTATCATCATTGACATTGAAATTATTAATAGCTAAAAATCTTTCTTCACTTCGTACCGATCCATCCAAACCTATTCAATTAATACTTAAAACTTTATCTTTTTTATGCATTGAAAGAAATTCTTACGTTCATATTTATAGATTTCACGATGAGTTAAATAGTCTTGTAAAATATCGAGAACAGTTGTGAATTGTGAAAATAAAAGTACTTTATGTTTTTTAGCATATAAATGTGCAAGAAGATGATCCAGAATATGAAGTTTACCACTTGCTTCAACTAAAAAAAAATCATAAGAAATTATTTATTCAAAATTAATTACAAGCAAATACTTACTTAAATGTTCACCCATTTCAAATGGTTCAGGTTCAATACCAGGAAATAGATATGGATGTCCAATAGCTTTTCTTAATTGCATCATGATATTCACTAGACTTGTTTTACTTGCTGCTTCACTCGTACCAAATATTGCTAAACAAAAGATAAGAATAATCTTAGCATATATATTTTTTTAAAACAAAAATCCATACATCGATTTTTTGTTAATATAGCTTTATAAAGTTCTTTTTGAACTTTCGATAAATCATGAAAAATCATCAATTCAGTTTTATTTGGTAAATCAGTAAGAACATCACGTTTTAATCGTCGTAAAACAAATGGTTTTAAAAGATCAATTAATATTTTTTTACGAGCTGTATAAAATAAACATAAAATTCGAAATAAAAAATCAACTATTTCAATTACTTTCATCAGTATTAATATTTCGAAAATATTGTATAAAATCTTCATGATGTTTTGGATGAAATATATTCGGTGCACAGAATGATAATAGTGAATAAAGTTCAGATAGATTATTCTGAATTGGTGTACCAGTGAGAAGAATTCGACATGAGACATTCAACTAAAATTGTTATACTTATTTTTTCTTTTTAACAACAAAATACGTGGTCAGTAAGTTAAAAAATTATAAAATCAGTATATTGAATGAATAATCAGTAAATTACTTTAAAATAGCCAGTTATTGATGAATCAGGTTTGTTAATCAATTTAGATATAACTTAATGAAATTTACTAACAGCCAATTCAATCAAAGAATAAGTGCATAGAAAATGAAATGCCTTATAATGTGATCACTTTTTTTTCTTTACTTTGGTTCTTTGTATAATGTAGCATACATGCTATGTACAATATACATGTAGCTACTCGTTGCTTCGATCATTTCTTCTGATTTCAGCTTAGAGTCTACGAGTACAAAAGATGAGCGCAGTACAAGTTGTTCAATATGAAAATGATGTATGAGATAAAGAGATTATAGATAAAAATTACAATATAAATGGAAATAAAAGAGATTTGCTAAAACAAGAAACCTATATATTGGATTAATGAGGCTACACTTGATAATATTGACGGAGCAGAAATATGAATTAGAAATGAATAGTCAAAGCATTATACGAACTATACAGAAAATAAGATAACAGTTTATTACAGATGAAATAAAGCCAAGCATCGTTGACCTTAATTGTACGATAAATATTTATCTGCTATATCATACAGACAGTGAAAAGGTTACTATTTCTTATTAGAGACCGAGCACCATGATTATAAGATGTGTGAGTGTAAATGGGATGAAAATCCATTGAAATTCACACCCACGGCATACGGATAAAAAAAATCTGCTTGTAAAATTTTCGTATTTTTTACTGACCATTTTGTAATTAAATACTGACAATTCAATCTTCATATTTATTATTTGTATATTTTTTTTTGTTACTGACCATTTAAATCACAACTCTTTTATTTTAAACAGTAAAAGAAATCAACAAACCGTTTTGAGAGTTCCATGTAAAAGTGATTGAGAATTTTTAATTCGATGTGCTTCATCAATAATTAAAACTTTCCAAGTAAATGATTGAAAAAATGATGTATCTTTTATAATATATTCATATGTTGTTAATAAAATGTCGAATGTAGATTTTTTAATTGTTTCCGCTAGTTCATTTCGTTCATCTTTGGCACCGGTGAATATTTGTACATTTAATCCAGGAGCAAATCTTATAAAGTTTTATTATTTTTTCTCGTTTTTTTAGATTCTCTTTCAACAAGTTTATTACCGTGACAGTTCTTTTGTCCAATTTTGCAAGACAGATAATGGACTAATTACAAGACAAGGAGATTGTTTCTTTACTTTACATACATATAATAAAAATGCAATTGTCTAAATATATAATGACTAATCATTTTATTTAAATCATGAAGTCTTACTTGTAATGTTTTTCCAAGACCCATCTCATCACTTAGAACTATTGAAATATTTTATTAAACTAATTCTCAAAAAGAAAAATTCAATTTCTCACTTGCTCCATGTCCTACTTCATATCGCTCAATAAGCCATCGAACTCCATATAATTGATAGGACCGAATATCAACATTTGTTAAACCAGAATGTTTAAAATAAGTTTGATTATATTCATTCTCATCCAATGTTTTATAAGTTAATACATTAATACGTTTTTTTAACAGATTAACAAGTGCGCTCTCATTATCAGACATCTACAAAAAGAAAATGATTTCATCAATATTCTATTATTCAAACTATGTTCTATAATTCAAAATTCTATCTGACCAATACACTTAGATAATCAATAATATGAATAACTACTTTATACAAAAGAATGTCAGTACATCACCGGAAACCTAATTTGCAGACAAAAAAAAACACGTTGTATTTAATGTTTGAAATCACGTTTATGTTGAGGATTTTGTCGATAACATGATTTACCAAATGGGCACATAGGCTTATCAGCATCATTATCATCATTATTATCATAATCATTTGATTGTTTTGAATCTTCATAATCACTATCACCTGGATGTGATTGTTCAGCCCGATGAGTAGGATTTTTTCTATAACATGATGCACCAAATTGGCAAGCAGGACGACGTTTACCACCTGGTCTAACTAAACTTGAATATTCGTTTAATAATCAATAAGAATATATATTTCTTATTACTTCTTTTTGGTAGTGATGGTGGTGTTGTTGTTGTTTTTGATACCACAAAATCAAAACCATCTGCACTATCACTATCAAGACTTCTTGTTGAAGGTACTTTACTTAATACTTTTCCTGGAGATTTTGTTTCAATAGGTGTTGCTGGTGATCGAATATCTAAATAGAAATAATAAATAAGATAGCAAGTTTAGAAATAAAAATTTACCTGACAAATTTGATGACTCATTAAAATCACTATTACTATCACCTTCAAAACTTACTAAGAACAAGAAAAAATAAAAGTGAGGTTTGTGAATCAGTATGCAATGAAACAGAAACATACAGTGACGTTTAGCACTAGTTGGAGCAGTATTTGATGAATTTCGTGAATAAGAAGACTTAGGTGTAGTAGTTGTTTGCTTAATTGTTGGGGATGGAGTTGGTGCTGCCATCCATTTAGGTAATTTACGTGATTGATGATTCGTATTAATTAGTTCGGGTTCATCCTAAAAATGGAATCAATAAAGAGAAAAATAATAAAATTTGAAAAACATACTTGATTGTCTACAGATGGTGGAGGAGCTGAAATTCGAGTTAAAGTAACTGAAGGAACAGGCATTGAAATACGTGGTTTTGGTTCAACATCTGATGTAGTTTTCTTTTCGAATGATGTACGTTTACATGGTGTTCGTGCTGGTTCATCATTAGCATCTTCATCAAAATCAAAAACTGATGTATCTTGATTACTAATTGAACGACGATAACCATGTGTAGGCGACCATTGATCAGGTGAAGTTGCACGTACAGGAGATAAATTATCATCTTTTTTCCATGCATATAATGAATCCGAATCGGAATCATCATTCTTATCATTATTATTGTTTTCATCAATTGAAAAACTTACACGAAAGAAAAAACTTGATGGAAGTAAACCAATTTGATCACCATCGTTTAATTCTCGTTCAACATCTTTTGTTAGTTGAATTGTTTTACCATTCAATGGACGATAAAATACAGGATTCGCATGCGTTGGTTTTATCCAAAGAGTATTATCATCTTTAAGTAATAATTCTGCATGATGACGAGAAATTTTTTTTTCATTACACTAAAATAAATATGAATAGATTATCACTTTAAACATAATTAAATGAACATACGCCTAATGATGAACCACGTCCAACAATAATTTTTTCATTTTCTTTTACTGTAATACGATTGCCTTCTGCAATTGGTATGAGTTCTACTTTACCAACCATTCTTGTTTATGTTTCTTGATTAAATACAATAATTTTAAATGAACAATACGTTATTTCAAAGTTATGTGAAAGACAATGAAGGCATTTGAATTGACAGGAAACAAAAGCATAGGTTCCTTGTTTCAATCAATAGAGTGCATCGATAGAGGGAGCAAGTTATTAAAAATGATAGTTTCTATACTGGAGCCTTTGCTTCAGTGATCATAGATAAATATCGATTAAGTTAAATGCAAAATAACGTATTCAGTATATTTTGAAATAATGCATAAATGCTTGTAATTGTTTTATAGACGCCATTCTATTAAAAAAAAGTCTCTTTCNTAAAAATTTTCCTTTATTATAAAGGTGGTGGTTATTGGTTTTTCGATCATTCTGGTAAGATCCTTTTTCTTAAAATATATTCCTAAGACTATTTGTTTTCTTCTTTTTGACTATAGTTTGGAATGGTTTAACTCTTGCTGATTTAGTTTTTCCATGGTTTTTTTGGATGATGTGAGTATCTAATAGGTACTGCGTTGAAACGTCGGTACCATCGATCATGGAATGACCCTCTCGTTTCTAGTATATGATTAGTCAGTGTATATGGAGAGCTTAAGCCATTGAACGCAAGAACTCTACGTCAGATTGACCTTCCATTCAAAGCTACAGCTAATATTTTGCTGTCGGGAAAGTATCAGGCTAATGAATCTGCCGTTAGGTAACACCCCCCTATGACAAGGTAGCCAATTCTTTTTCTCAAGTAATGCAATAGAAGTCTGTTGAATCACGGCACACATTGATCATATAAATTTCTCTACAGAGTTTTATTGATTATATTTTACGCTTTCTTGTTTTCTATACTGTTGAAACTAATTCTCATTTTTTTATAATAAATTAATATTTATGAATTTTATTGAATTTATATTTTACGTGTGTCATATGAATAATAAAAAGAAAACCTCTCGAAAATAATATTCAAGAAAACAACTAAAACAAAATTATCACAATAATTTTTAAATGGCAATAAAAATTTTCTTATAATACATTATGCCAGCAATTAAAGCCCAAAATAGAGCACCATAAACATGCACTGCAAGTAGTTTCGCATGTGTTTTCTTAACTTCAAATTGTACTGGAAAACTTTGTGAACAAACATCATGACCAACATAGAGAACAATGGAATTCATACCTAACCAGAGCCATGGTTCACCTGTAAAGCATTTGTAAACATCGACAAGTAAATAAAGTATTGTTAAGATTATAAAAGCAAGACTAGCTAAGATAAATATAAAACTTAATGACCAAAGGTTTTTATTAATTGGTATCCAGCTATCTGAATGACCACCTTCCGATAAAAGTAAACCTAAAAATCCACAAATAAGACTCGATGCAATCCATTGCGCACAAACACGACGAACACGTGTTGAAAAAACAAAACTATGACCAGCTTGAACACCAAGATAACACAAAAGTGTTCCAGTAAGAATACCCAACAGACCTATATGTAGAAGAATAAATATGATAGACAACTTTTTTCTTAATCTTACCTTCCGGATCATAAGGTATTTGAGTTTTATAAATCTCTTTACATGTCGGATAATTATATAGATGAGAACTTCTTAATATAACTCGATCAAGATATCCAGCAACTCCTATAATTATTTAATTATATATATTATTTTTTTTTCTTTCAATGAATTATATGAACTATACCTCCAGTACAATTTGTATATCTTCCATGTTCATGTTTTCCACCAGGACCTACATAACCTCTTGGGCAATTACTTAATTTCGGAACAAAAGTTATCAAAATCCACGAAAGAGTAATACAAATAATACAAAGCCATTGTGCCCAAAATTGAAATACTGTATTTGATAATTCAATTCGTATTGGTTGATATATATTGTCACCTAAATAAAAAAATTATATAGTTCAAAATTAAAGTTTTCTTTTTTACCAATTGGCCATTGCGATGAATGTAATTCGTCTTCAACAGCATCAAAAATAAGTACAAGTATTGCAGTAAAAAAATAACATAATGCTAAGCGTTGAAGAACACCTAAAATTCGTACATCTTCTGGTTTTCCATATCCACCTTGCAAAATCAAACCTACAATTTTCAATTAAAATAGTCAATAAAAAAAAATACATAGTCTGTTTTTTCTTCTTTCGTACCTAATAAAAATAGTATTACAGTACGTCGACATATTTTCAGTAAAATACTTCGTTTGCGTATTTTCTTCTTTAGAAGTGACCGTTGAGATAGAACTATTGATACACCCATCATCCAAACAAACCATGGAAAAACTAAATCAGCAAGAGTTAAACCATTCCAAACTATAGTCAAAAAGAAGAAAACAAATAGTCTTAGGAATATATTTTAAGAAAAAGGATCTTACCAGAATGATCGAAAAACCAATAACCACCACCTTTATAATAAAGGAAAATTTTTAAAATATGAACGAAAAAAGAAAAAATAAATTAGTGAAATATTCTTACCACCGTAATTAACAAAAATCATCACCATCAATGAAAATCCTCGAAAAGTATCCAATGATTGAAGACGTTTTGGTAAAACTTTTTTAGTTTTATTGGAATTATTCGACGTGTGAGTAGATCCAACTGATTGTAATGGATTATTCATATTCGCTGTACCAAGAATATCATCATTACGATTTTCATTAGCTACAATCAATGGTACTCGTCTATTTGTTATTGGACTGGTTTCTGGTATACTATCAATTTCATCATTCACTAATTGTTGGTGACCAATATTTGTTAAAATACGACCAATATAACGAGATTTATAAATCTGATGACATAATTGAATAGAGAAAACAATAATACAAAGAATAATTACTGCAATTATGATAGGTAGCCAATAATAACTTGATTTTGTTGTTTGAGTTATTGTACAAGAAATTTCATTTTGTTTTGTTTGTATAACTTCAAATAGATATGAACCATGTTCAGAAAATTTGTAAGATTCTATTTGACATGATATTGTTTTATTCTTTGTTTCCGAATGAAGTCGAAAATCATATGGATATCTTGTATCAATTGTTAAAGTTTGACTTGAATTCATTAGAACAGCATCGCCTAACTGATCAAAATCACAATGTTCACATACTATCACATTATACATAAGCAAAATTGGATCTGAATAATTTTTATTGCTAATCGTCAAAAGGGCTTCATCCATACTTAATGGATCTGATGGAGTATTTTTAATTGTTTTAGCTTGGCCATGATAGAAAAATTGTTGAATAGCGATGCAAAACCACCAAAGATGATCCCATGGTCTCTTCATTATTTTTTATGATCAGTTATCTAAAATGATATTCTAACATTAAACAACTGTTGTTTTTTCTTTTTTATCGCAGTTTTCATAAACAAATAAAAAGGTCTACATATCGCTTTCGTCGACAACAAACCAGGTCTACATTATAAAGAGTCTTATCAGTTGTTTTTCTAACGAAAGCATAAACATGTACTTTCGCATACCATGCTGCTCAATCTTCTTGTTATCTAACATAAAAATTCGCTGCCTATCGCAAGACAAAAACAAAAGCAAAACTTATTATTATATTAATTTTAGCAGATTAATTTATCTTGATTAATAAATACAATCAAAATGGATTGTTTCAATTTTTATTTGTTATCACATTTTTCTCTTATTTTTATGTAAATAACATCCACAATGTGTGTAAAAAAAACCGACAAAATATAACCACACACATATGAATAAAAGATTTTGATCTTGCATTCTCAAAAATAAATCAAACAAACAAAATTTCCTGAACTATCATCATAAATTGTGCATCGATGAAATCATCTATTTAGCTGTTTGAGATTAAGACAAGAGAAAATAAATGACACCCTTTTTTAAAGCAGGACTAGGAAGAACAAAAAAAAAACAAAAACAACAGGAAGCATTTCATGAAAAATGACCAGATGCAGTAGAGGATTGTCCAGGAGACGAATCGAGAAATGGTGGAATAGAAAGATCGACTTTGCTTTTATCAAGCTCAGATGCTGGTTCTAAATAAAAAGAAAAACAATTCTTTGCAAACTGAATAATAATACTGAATAGATAGATTTACCTTCCAGTGCTGCTGGTGGCATAAACATTTGACTATAACGGTTAATCAAAATACCAGTTCCTTCAATCATAGCAAGAATAAATCCACCAATAACAGCTGAACCAAACATAGCTCCTGGTCCCTCTAAAATAAAAAATATTATGAAAATAGAGATTTATTTATTTTTTGTTCTAATTTACGTCTCGCTTGTAAAATAGCTCCGGTCATTGCACCACTCAAAATTGAATTCCATGGATCTTCTTTTTTTCTTAGATACACAAAACTACAATCAATTAATGAAAATATGCAACCCCATGCACTAAACGATGCTAAATAAATAATAGAAAAAAAACAATTGATTAATTTTATTTCTATTAAAAACAAGTGTTACCTCCAACACGAGGAGCTCGTTGTTTGACTGCATTTAAACTACCAATTAATCGTCTGTATTGACCCTACAAAGAAAAAAGAAAATATCACTTAATTGATAAAGAAATAAATCAAAATTTTACACTTGGAGCATGACGGAAACCTTTGATCGAATGAAACAATGTTCCACCTATCGCTCCTAATGCAAATGCACCACCACAATCATCAACAATACGCCAAGGACTAAATCAAATAATGCAGAAAAACAAACAAACAAATAATTTGAAATTATTTTCTTACCAAGGTTCTCGATCCATTACTTTTAATTTTTATAAAAACTGTTCATCTAAAACAAACCAATAAAACACATTTTTTTAAAAGTAATGCTATTTCATATGTTAATATCAAACAAAGGAAAATCCTTAAAAAAATTAAATTAGTTTAAAAAAAACAACAAAAGATGACTAGGAGTTTGATTTAGGAAAATATTTAAGTAGTAGTGTTTGTCGACGTCGTTCAACAATATGTCGCTGATTCTCAATATCCTAAATTGTTTCGAAAATAAAAATCATTAAAATACAATATCAATATAATTTACTCCTCGGTTATGTGTTGTTGAACGTTCAATTTGATAAGATAAATTTTCAATTTCAACTTCAAGTTGAGCTTGAATATTTTCAAACTAAAATAACGAATATATTAAATACGTTAAATTTGCTAGTAAATTATTATCATAAACTTACAATATTTCGATCAACAGTATCTTCCTGATAGTAAGCATAAGGATAAGTGTACATTAGAGTATATCTAGCCTTAAACAAACCACAATAAATACTATCAATCATTTTATTTACAGCACTGTTTATGGAACTTTTATGTAAAGAATATATCTATAGAGCATTAGTAAACCTTGTCAACAGAGTTATTTATTTCATTAGCTAACAAATCTTATGAGCTTTGATCAAATTATCATCATAAATCGTACATTTGCAAATGCAAAATATTCATTGTCGTCAAGTGATCTATACGAAGTTATTAATCTTCTTATTAAGATATGTAACTTTATTTAATAAAAACATCAACTCAATCTGTAAAATAAAGAATAACCAATGTTCTAAGTCGAGAAGAAAACTAGCTTGAAAAATGATTTCAATTTGTCTATAATCGTTTAGTATTTTATAATTGATTGCCTTCAGCTTACATATACTATTGAATAAACAATAGTCAGAATCCAGTTAGTCGTTGAAAGATTCGAGCATATATTCTCATGCTATGGCCTACCCTTTTACAGATATTAATTAATTATAGGTACATATTTTAACAATATCCAATATTTGTTGTATATGAGCAGAAGAATAAGAGTGATCTGAATTTCATAAGATATTCAATTTATAATAAAACTAATTCTTTTGTTAGTATTGATTACGACCATAACTTTTTCTCAGGTGAGATAAACAATCGAAAAAAAAAACTTCTTAATATTAAGAAAATTATTCAGAATAGGAAGATTCACTCCTATAATAAAGTAACTCTCAATCATGTATATATTCGAAGAAAACTCACCTTTGCTAATGAATCAGCTGCTTTTTCTAAACATTGCCAATCGATATAAGTTTCATTTTGTGCATTAATATTCTGTTCAATTTTTTCTAATAATTTTGCTCTTGTTTGTTCCTCAAGTTTTAAACTTCTTTGATGATTATCCCACTAAAATAAGTAAATAAACAAACAAACAAACAAACATAATAAATGAACAATTACATGATTATTACCCTTTCAAAATAATGTAAATATTTTTTTAATGCTTCACGTGCACGATTTTGTTTTGTTTCTATTTGGGATTGTGGTTGTCTACGATATTTAGAACATTCATAATAATTATTTTCATGAGTCTTCCAATCTAATACAATAAATCAATTCTTTTTGTTTTTATTACAATGTTTATTTATTACCTCCAACACACATTCAACAAAAATGATGACTACAAGAAAAACAACACTAAAATATAAAATGTATTTCAATCGAACAAATGCTTTTTTTTTCTTCTTCTTACCATATGATTACAACCTAAATATTCAAATATAATTCCTCGATGAATTAATTAAAAATCTCTTACCTCCATTTTTTTCAATGCATACTTTACATTTTGGACAATCTTTTGTATTAGCTGATATATAAATCACTGTTTCTGAATCCTAAATATCAAATGAAATAAAAATTTAATTTAATTTTCCATTTAAAATACGAACATCTCGACATTTGTTTAACCAATTTCTCATAATATCACAACTAGCAGGTGCATGATAACTCAATTGACATTGAAAACTAAATTAAAATTGTTTTTTTCAATAAAAGGAATTTTTCAAATAAAAAATGTTCATACCAAAATTTTAAATTACATAATTCACATGCAACTTTGCTTGGTGTAGGTTTATCAATTGCTTGAAATACCCGTTCACCTGTACCAGGGCAAAGTATCATTTGTGGATTATTCTAAAATAATGTCTTTGAAATCAAAGATTCATTTTTATAATAGATTCTTTTTACTTCAATCATTGATTTAACAACTCATTTTTTATAAGATTCTTTATTTTTTTATCTGACGATAAATGCTCAAGAACAAAACTTAAAAAAGAAATATTTTGTAAATAAAAATAAATGACAATTTTTTCATATTAGATTACTTCTGTGGTATTCGTAGATTGCATTTCATACATTCCATATCTATATTATCAATGAAAGACTAGGTAAAATTCAGAAAAAAAAACAAGAACATTTACTTAAACAATTATCTGATAGAAATTTTACATCAATATATTGTGACCAACAATCATGGCAAAAAGCATGATTACATATTAATGATTGAAAATTTGTTTCACTTTTAAAACATATTGAACATATAGCTGAAGAAGATGATGTGTGAATATATGCATTTGAAAACACTAATGGTTCAAAACGTGTTTGAACTTCTTTTATTGTATTTATAATATATTCAAATTGTTCAGGATCATTACTGGTAACACTTGTCGTATAGTTATTATTGTTATCATCTTGAAATGGATCTTTATCATCGTAATATGTATCATAGCAATCATCATCTATTCGAAATACATATTCATTTATGTATGATAAGAAAGATTTTCAAACGTACTGATTGCATCACTATCATATTCGTTTTCACTCATTAATATTCAATGTTTACAAGAAAAGAAGATCTCATCGAGTGAGCTTTTGATATTAAAAAAAAGTGATGTAGACATATGTAAAAAGATCGAATCAGAATAAACATAAAATATTCTTATGCGCGAAACGTGTTTAATTGAATAGATGCCGTTGATAATCGGTCTTTTTCTATAATGCATGAAAAGAGTTCACGTGAAGACGTTCACAGAGTAACTACAAAAAAATCTCGTCACTGCTATTCTCGGCTCCTCTCATTAGATAGCTGTTTCGAAAAGCGGCTTTTTTTGACAAATTTTCAAGTATTCAGTTTAAGCAACTATGTTGGTAAACAACTATGGATTGGTGAACGATGGGTATTGATACTTTAGCACGACAACATTCAAAACCGAAAAGTTAGGCATGCACATAAAAATCAAGGCAAAAGGTACGGATATATGTGGGAATAAAGAGAAGGCTGCTCTTAAAATAAAAAAGGAGTTTTGCAGAACCTTTTTATGGGTTCTGTCATCGGGTAAAGCGCAGAACCCTCAAAAAAGGTTCTGACTAAACTGAAAAAAGGTTCAGTAAAGAAAAAATGAAACCATATCTGATTTTTCTTCAAAAACGATTCTGTCCTACGTATAAGGTGTTCCATTATTTAAATGGTTTATCGTTGGCATTTCCCGTATCTCTGTATCACTATTTCCATATTCTTATATCCATATCCTTATAACCATACCAGTATAACTATACCTTTAATACTACATCCTTATAACTATACCATTATATCTATACCCTTACGACTATAACCCTTATAACTATACCTTATATCTATACCCTTATTTCTGTATCCTTAATTCTATATCCTTACAACTATACCCTTATAACTTACCCTTATAACTATACCTTACATCTATACCTTATAGCTATACCTTTATTTCTGTATCCTTATATCTATACCCTTACAACTGTACCCTTATAACTATACCCTTAATACTGCACGCTTATATCTACACCCTTATATCTATACTGTGATAACTATGGCAACTATGCCCTTATTTTGATATTTCCTAAAAAAGTGTTTCTGGGAAAAATCTTAGAGGTTTTCTGATTTTGTCATTGTCTGAAAAAACCATTCAGAGTTTCCGAATATTGATGTTCAAAGTCTCCCGAACCTAAACAAATACTTATAGTACTTTCTCACAAAGCAATGTCAGAAACCGCAAAAAGATTTCCAAGCTCACCAACATGAGAATCCAAGGAAGGATCTCAAGAACATCGACAGTCAACAGATTTTGATACCATGTCATGTGTCATAAAACCACCGCAATGAAAGATATCGTTATTTCTCGAATGCTGAAATATAACATAGTTATTCGATGACATCCATTTGAAGAATCTAAAAGAAAGGATAAATTAATATTCACTTTTCATTCTTTAATGTAACTCATCCTTTGAATGAAATTCATTGCAAGAACCTAAAACAAAAAAAAATCGATATTTCGATATTACTTTTTTATTCTTAAATGAAACTTACTATTTGCATGAAATCTATTTGAAGAATCTAAAACAAAAAATGAACTTAATATAA